TAAATTATAATGTTACGTACATTGATAGTGAGAAAATTATTTCACGTGAGAACAAATAACACAATATCTAAAGTAGTTAAAATGATATCCAAACTTCATATTACAAAGTTTCTACGCTTTGTCCTTTGAACAAAAATCGATATGATGTTAACGAGAAGTTGCTGCACAAAGCGTGAACACTTCTGCAGCAATTATGCATAAGAACGTGATATTTTTCGCATTTTGTCCCAATAATTAGGACAATCTGCAAAAAATACAAAATGTGATTTTATTGTAAAATAAAACTCGATATTTTAATCGTGCATTCGCGCAAGTATAATACATTTGGTTCTGTCGAGCACACAAAATGCTACACATAAATCATATGTGCGTAGATCGCGATCTCTCAATTTCCAAACGCGTTTCATTCCGCATATGCTTCATTACGTATTCGGAATCTAACTCCATTCTCAGGATACCAATCACGTCGAAACACGCGTCTGTCGAACTACAATCGCATTATCCGGAAGTTCTTAATAGAACTTCCGGCTGCATGCGGAATTTTGCGGTAGGTCAGTTCTCCTTTGTAGAATCCGCAATTTGCGTCCAGCAATAGTTCAAAGTTTCACTCGCCACGGTCTCTCTCTCTCTCTCTCTCTTTCTCTTTCTCTGATTCAAAAGCAAAATTATGATCTAAATATTTTTTTATTATATGTTAATCATATATAAAATATAATTGAATGAGCGAGAGGTCACGCATGATTCTGCCAGGCCTTTTAGCTAGGGAAGCCCTTGAAGTCCTACGTCGTGTCGCTGGGGCAAGGCTAGGACAAGGTGGAAAAGAGTAGCGCGACAATGCCGGACAGGCTTGACGATAATCTACGGGGGCTGCTGAAACGAGGAGGTGAACTTTTACCCCCTGCTACGAATTACCGTTGCTCTTAGCCTGTACCGCGTCGGAGCATTTAATGCTACGCCCGGTATATAACAGCTCTTCTTGTCCTGCCGGTTCTCCATCCAATTCTCTCTTTTAACCTTCGTGGCAGGAAATACGATAGAAAGGCGCCGATGGCCGGGAGGAGGTGAGACCCTGCGGTATTCTTTCGGTTTGTACATACGACGCAGACAAATCCGTTGGATCCATGGGTCTTGAAAGCGACCCACTCATCTTGTTGCTCTTGCCGCGTACCGTTTCATCGCATTTCTCCAATCTAAGTCTATTCCTCCTTCGAAATAGTTTTTCTTTTATTGTCTGTGTTATTTTTCTTTCTCCTTCCGTAGCGCTTTCTTCCCGGCATAAAATGCCTCCGATTGCGAACAATTGTAATTCACGATTATTATTTCTCTCGCGAAATCTAGAATAAGACCTTACCTAGATTTCATGAAATCTAGATCTATCATTCCAGTCAAATAATCCCTAAAGAATAACATTTTTATTTTTTACATTAGAAGCAAGATATAATTTACAAATCTTTATTTATTATCAATAATTCAGATTTAGCTATATTATTTTATTAATTTTAAAGTCAACTTTTAGAAAATAAGATAAGCCAATTGTTTGACATATATGTATTTCGTTTTCTTTGAAAATTGTCTGAACATTATTGAATATTATTATTATTAAAAAGACGACATTTCTCTCTATATATTTGTTTTTTCACAAAATAAAATAAAATTTGTTAGAGAAGCTGTTGTTTTTCTTTACTATATAAATAGCAATATAAAAGTGATATGAAAGCGAAAATGAGTATTCCGTATATGATGAGATTGTTATGATAATAAATGTGTTGGTTCATTTAATTCGCTCTTTTGATCGACTTACGATGAGAGCTATTTGTAGGAAGAAGGAATCTTCCGCGCAGAATGATAGATATAACTTTTCCACGATATAAACGTGATGCGAAAATATACTATGATCCCACCATGTGTTAACAAATAACAAGTTAGCGATCGAAACAAAAAAGCAAAAGCGAGAAAGTTTTCGGCAAAAAAACAAAAAACATTGACAGTAATATTAGCTGTAGATATACGAACAATATCATTTATTTCATAGAAATAGGAACGTTAAAACGTTCAAAAATCTATGTTTTTTTAACTCAGGCATGGTAAAGATAAAATAGACAAAGTTATTAGAAATAACTTACAAAAATAAATATTTTTTATGAATATTTATTGAATATTTTCTTTATTTCTATAGCACTGTTATATTATTTTAAAATAAATATACATTGCATACACTAGATTAGTTATTTTTAGGCAAAATATATCTTTATATAAATAAGGACTTTACAGGAACTTGATTTAGTAGTATAAGATTGAAGATGTGTTAAAATAGCTTTAACCATTCAAGAAGTCTTCCTGAATAGCTTAAGATCCGTGAAATGGTGATAAGAACCGGCGAACATATGTGTTGAATTATGAAAGCTGGCGCCACAGATAATCGATTGTGGAAATAGCCTTCCGTGTAAAGACGGTTGCCTAAAAGGGCAACCTTTCTCGGTCATTTAATATCTTGCTCTTTTTCTATAAGCAACTTTACGCTTCTCTTTTCTCCTCTTTCGCGCAATATAACAAATAATATAACAGAATAAGTAAAATTTAACACAATAGAAAATTCAATTCAAAGAAATGAATTATTCTTTTGAAATGTAATTTGATATTAAAACTACACTACTTATTAATTATTAAATATTTAATTATTAATTATTAGGGCAACACGAATTTAGCATATTATTTATATATTGCGAAATAAAGTTGATCAGCAAAACGTAATGAATAAATAGGACAAATAATAAAAAATATAATAATAATAGAATAATATTTAAAATTTATTTTATCGTTGTTTTAAACACAAAAAAATGTCGCTCTTAATTATTAGATATATAGCCATATCTTAAGTTGGAAATTGATGAGAAAGTTTATTTTGAAAAAAAAGTGTCAGAGTATTATATTTATTGTAAAACTAGTAGTCTAAATTATTATCCACGTATAAGGCGAATCGGCCAAACTTTCTTCGAAGAAAAATCTAACAACCCTCCTACTCAATCGCTCTCCTGCGAAGATGGAGGAGTTAGGCAATTTGTCTGAAACGTCCCCTTATATCGACGTGTCAAAAGAGAAATAAAAAAACCAATAAAAAAGTGTGCATGTTTTTTTAATTTTAATTACGGTATTTAATTACACAATAATTTTAATGACTCTCATAAGCAATATAAAAAGATCAATAACAGAATTTACAAATAATTAAAAAATTATAAATATCTTATACGCAAATAAAAATTAATTTTATATTTGAATAAAAAATTCTTTTTTATATAAAAGATAAACTTGTACATGTATATATTTATATATTTATACACACACACACACACATATGTATGTATTAATGGATTTTATATATATAGTTTATGAGTTACTATATACATTATTTTGCATCATAAAATCATCTAATTTTTATTATTTAATATAAATGTTTCAAACAAGCACATTTTTATCTCTCGAAAGAGATATTAATATCGCAAGAAATATTATACGACAAAGTTTCAATAAAAGATGAGAAATAAAGTTTCTTAATCAATCAATAAAGTTTCAATAAAAGATGAGAAATTTTCTAGGGGTTATTTTCTTTTACCAACGGAACATTTGAGCTTTAATAGCAGAGATCTTATATTAATAACATATTTAAATAATATCAAGTTTTTATTAAAATTTTATGTATCGTAGAAGCATGTATATAATATTTACTAGAAAAAAATTGATGGACGTTTTTAATCTTCAAATGTATATATATGTCAACATAGTGAACGATTCTATCATTCACACGCAGATGATATCGAATAAATGAAGGAATAGCTGTAGAAAATAATAGTGTTTAGGGTGTCGTGGTAATATATGTATATTACGACACTGTGTATCGTATTAGATAAAATTTCTTTTGGGAATTATTAGTCACGCATTCAAACGGAAATGTTTTGTCTTTTCACTGAATATATGAGAGAAATTATTTTTCCAATATTCTTAGTAATGTAATGCATCAAGTTTAAAAGCGATATGGAAGTAGTCTTATATTTTTCAACATGTTGAGTTATTTGATGTAATATATTTAATTAATGTCCGTTTAGATTATTTTATAATAATATAATTAAATAATAAAAATGAAATAATGCACGTCTCTGCACGCTGCACGACGAAAGATTAATACATACCATACATCCATTACGCTGCGCGGCTCGCGCGAGACTGATTTTCGTGCGGGGTATCGCAAGCGCGGGCCCGATGGTCACGTGATCATTGGTCATGTGACCACTGGTCACGTGACCATTGGTCATGTGACCACTGGTCATGTAACCACTGGTCAGTCTCGCGCAAGCCGCGCAACGTGATGGATATGTGGGGTATAGAATCTCGCGCGAGTCTAATGAAAGCGTAGATATTTAATTACAAAAGATTCTTGTAGAAAATTTTATTTCTTTGTTCGTATTTTCTGTAAAAGATTTAAATATTGAATTTTTATGCGTTGCAGTATGAATTAATATATTTTTACCAGAACACAAGCGCGCGCTTTGCGCGCGTTATTGATATTATTTTTATTTTTTATTTTACAACTATCAAACTATTAACCTTCACGATGGCAGTGGTCTGATGCTATTAATATAACACATAGGCTGCGTTCGCTTTGACGCTTTCAGCGCTATAAGCATCTTCTGTCTTCGTTGCACATCGAATATCAAACGAAGACAAAAGATGCTTATAGCACTGAAAGCGTCCAAAACGAATGCAGCCATAATGTTAATTGAGACAACCAATCAGCAGAAAAACAGCAACAATATTTACGATAATCGACTTTGGATTCCTTTTTTAAAATTTTTTATATTTATGTTTGTGGAAAATATTATATTAAAGAGTTAAATAAAAGTGATGTGTGTAAGCTCTACACACATTAATTTATATGCATATTTTACAGCTTTGAACGTTATTATTTAGGATAAAATAAAATTTTGAAAAATATTTTTTTGTTTCAGGTAAGGCTGTTCCATTTGTAGAATTGACTGTGGCACACGCTTCGGTGCTCACAATTTTAGCAATCAGCTTTGAACGTTATTACGCAATTTGTGAGCCATTAAGAGCAGGGTAAGCCATTAGAATTAATTAAAAAAAGCTTTAGGGAATAGATAAAAACGAATAACTATAAAAAGCTCTTTAGGGAATAAAAAATAAATAATTAAATCTTTAATGGATTACACGAATTTAATCCGATTTCAATAACCTCATAGATACGTGTGCACAAAAGCGCGAGCGACCTTCTTATGTGTCTTGGCGTGGGTAGCAGCGGCGTTATGTACAAGGTGATATAAAGAAAAAAATTGGAATGATCTAAAATTCGTTTCATTAATATTCTTTTATATTTTATTAATGCTCTTTATCTTTGGTGACGTCTTGCTTTACTCGTTTCATGCTTTATTCTTTGGCTGACGCATATCGTCATTTTCCTGGATTCTCTCCTATCTTACATCTTCATATAGTTTTTAATACGAAGTCACTACGAGATTAACTATTAACTTATTTCGTGAAAATATGTTTTAAAATATAGAAAAGAGCCAATCACGATCACCCTTAATAATCATATTTAGAGAAATATGATTCTGGACAATACTCTATTATTATCAAATTATAATAATATACATATAATTTAATAATATATAATTATGAATAAAAACCTATTTTTTTACTATTTATAAATTGAAATTACAATTATATAGACATAGACATGTTCAAATATTGCTATGAAAAATAATACACAATTATAGTTCTAAATTATATATTATTTTTAGAATGCAGTTTTCTATTAAAAATTTGAAGAATTCAAACACAAACAGTATGAAATAATTTTGATAAATTTTGGCAGAAAGTAAACTTTATAGAGGACAATTTATTAGGTTTCTCTAAATTTTACTACATTATACTATCATTCTCTCTACATCATATTTACGTCACAACTTCGGTCTTTATTTACATTAAAACTTTGATTCAAAAAAATTTAATGTTATAGAAATATTTTTCATTTTTTGTTTTTAAACGTAAATATAAGTTTTTACAATTTACTAGGTTTCTCTAAATTTTACTACATTATACTATCATTCTCTCTACATCATATTTACGTCATAACTTCGGTTTTTATTTACATTAAAACTTTGATTCAAAAAAATTTAATGTTATAGAAATATTTTTCATTTTTTGTTTTTAAACGTAAATATAAGTTTTTACAATTTTTATAAAACTAATGAAACTATTATTAGATCAAACTGCATTCGATGTCTATCATTCATTTTCACAATTTTCATAAAACTAGTGAAACTATTATTAGATCAAACTGCATTCGATGTCTATCATTCATTTTCACAATTTTCATAAAACTAGTGAAACTATTATTAGATCAAACTGTACTCGATATATATCATTCATAAATCTTTCATTTCTTAATCAAATAATGAAATAATTTTGCATGAATTTTATGTCCTACAAAATCATAAAGTATTGATATATAAAGTTAGAGATCAATTTGAACCTATATAAAAATAATCTGAAGAGTGAATAATCTATATACGATTGAGAATTTTGTTCGAATTAAATTAGTTACTGTCATGAGAGTTTTACATTCTTTATTTTATTAAGTAACTGAAATTTAGAAACAATTTGGATGTATATAACGTGCACGTTAATTGTTAAATTGTTTGTATATTACGAGAAATCATTAATTTACTTTTACAAAGAAATTACATAAGATTTTCTTTGATCATAATAGAATAATTTATTATTTCTCTCCACAAAAGAATTTGAATTGAGGAATGTTGCATATTTAATTATTTAAATTCTTTCATTTTTTATTATTAATTGATATTTTGATAAAGGAAAAATTAAAAAGCTATACTATAAATTAATTAGAAGATTGTCATTAAAATTTTATTTGTAAATGTTACACGGAAGAAAAATTAGTTATAGCTAAATTTTATCTGTTCCTATATTACACATACACATGAAATTTAGTTATCAGGTCTTTTAGCTATGATAGTTAATGTTTTTTAGAATAGAAATCTCCGTTAAATTATAATTAAAAAATATTGATTACTATAACTAAAATTTAGATGATAATAAATTTCAGATTTGTAATATATAGGCTAAAATTTATCTATGATGGCTAATTTTTTATACAATTTTTAGTATACGTATTGTATGATTTAACTCGAAAAGATATTTCATATAAGGAATGCTTAAAGAACATCTTCTTACACAATGATGTTCATAGCACGAAAATATGGCTTTACACGTGTATTTCTTTTGGTTTGTATGAAGCTTCTAATTATTTATGCGTGTCGTATTGCATGCATAAAGCAATGGATGTTGCAAGCGGCATTCAAGCACGTGTATTTCTACAAATGTGCCTGAGAGTTGAACCGTGTAACAAGCTGCTTCTTTAACTTCATTATTCCGTCTGTATACATTTGACGTATTTTTATTTCTAAGATACTCTGTAACTAATATTATCTCAGTTTTTTCATGTTTACTTTGATAGTATTTTTTAATATAGTATATTTAGTATTTAAGCATAATTGCGTAATTGGTATTCGAGAAATTTTTTATTGCATTTGAATTATTGAACAAGTCTTCTTAAAATACGAAAATATTGCTAGCTATAATTTTATTGTCCAAAAATATCACGTCAATATATTGTTTCAATTATTTAATGTAACACGTTATTTCGATATTGATTTTTTTAGAACATACAAAGAAATGTAATCGTAATTTATTTTATTTCGCGTTTTATATTTTATTTAAATTTTAACTACGAAAAATAGAAAAAAAGAGAATTATAATATATCAAGAAGACCTCTTAAAGTCCATCCTCTTAAAATCTGTTGAGGAATTATGACAACACGACATATAAACAGATTTTGACAACATCAAAGGATACTTATTTGCAGTTACACGCTCATTTTCAGTGACAAAGTTAATGAGCAAGCCACCAGTATTATACAAAACAGTCTATTTTGCTCGAATTATTCCAGAAACTACGTGTCACATGCAGAAATTTCGTGTTTCTACGAAACTAAGAAATTTCTCGTAGAGATTATTGAATCGTGTGAACTACAAAGACACATAATTGCATCTCTTTATTGCAAGATACAAGACTTGCATATCAACATATAAAGCGAGCAGAGGCTTTCTTTTTTTTAATACAGTCAACCATGAATATTACGAGAAATCGTATTGTATTTTGTCACATTTGACAACACAATGACGTAACTCCATTAAATAATATTTTGTTTATTACGTATTATATATTGTACACTAAAAAAAATAGTTAAGTTGATTAAACTTTTCAACTAAATTACTATTTTGTTAATTGAACATATATTAGTGTGTAAATCAAATATACGTTTTATTAGATTTAATATATTATGTTTAATTTAAATATTTTTATATAGTTAACAAAATAATATTTAGATGAAAGGTTTAGTCAAGTTAATCAATTTGTTTTCAATGTATTTTATATTATTATTTTCGGCTTTATTTTCGTACATTCGGAATGCATTGAAACATGCTGATGACATAAATATTAACAGCGAATTTTCACGATATTTACACAGGCTCTTAATTATATATATTAAAATATTAGTGTATTTGAATTTCTTACGGAAGCATTAGAATTAAAAATTTCAGATATATCGCGAGAGCGAAGATTTAAACTTAATGAGATTCCGTCACTAAACATTAAACACAAAAAGAATGACTGTATTATTTTCATGAAAAAAGCTAGCGCGAATGAAATTATACGGGGCGATGGTTCGTCAGTAGGCTTTTATCTCGCATCAATTGCATTTAAACTAGCGCTATGAATGCATGGATTTGCCAGTATTCGCGAGTATGCCCGATTGTGACCTTGTCGCAATTTCTCTTATAAAAAGGATCCCCGTCAAATTTATTGAAAGAGGGAACCTATCTGATATTCGTCGCATAAAATGCAGCGGATTATTTTATCTTTTTCTAACGTAAAATATTTAATATATTGCATGCAGGTAATCATATGAAAAAATGAATATTGAAATATAATATTAGAAAAGTGTCGACGTTATATGTATATTAAAAACATGATTTTATTAAGATTTAAAGGCCCTGCATTCTAGAAACTATGTTATTTTTAAAATGATATAATATGAATAATTCTTGATAATTAAAAATTTTAGGATAATCGATGCAAATATTAATGATATATCATTGATAAATGAAAATATGCAATATTTTTATATATTATGCGAGTCAAAAATATTTCATAAAAATCTTAAATTAAAAATTTTACATAGATTTATCCATCAAGTAAATTTTTAGTCATAAAATTGCCAAATTATTTTTTTTAAGTGCATATTTTGAAAAGTACGATAGAAAAGTATTCGAAAAAGGATTTGATTTTTGTTCCATAAAGTCTAGTCGGTTTCTCAATTTCACCCTCGCGTTTATCCAGATAAAGCAGCCTTATACACGTGATAGGGCTACACATGCGTCATATAAAGGCGATATCGTCTGTAAACCACTTCTAATAGAAGTCTGTGTACGTCATATAACGCGATACGTGCGCAAATCGTCTCTCAGTCGTCAAATACCAAGAGCCCCGAGTTTGTAGCCACTTATGATGAAGCAGGGAGCTGCACCCTTGATAAACATAGTGATATTAGAAACATATTTTAAATTAAAAGCTACCTTTTAGGACTTCCAGAAAATTAATTTCAAGTATTGAAAGCTTATTTGAGATTTTATTACGTCCTCCTCTCTCTCTCTCTCTCTCTCTCTCTCTCTCTCTCTCTCTCTCTCTCTCTCTCTCTCTCTTCTCTCTCTCTCTCTCTCTGTCCCACCTTCTCTTTCTCTTTGATTCTATTTCCTTGAGAACTAGAAGTTATCTATTGAATTTTTAATTATTTTGATTAACTTTAATATTTTTTCTTAATGAAAACATTAAAGGAGATTGTTATATATTGTACTTTTTTGAATATTTAATATAATATAGATATATTTGTGAAATATATAACTTATTTGATTAAAACTTTTAGTTTTCGAATATTTGATAACTGATAGCTGAACAAAATTTTCCTTAGTTAATTAGTTTTAAGTTTCGAAAGAACAAAATAATATTTTGCAATTGTAACTTCAGTAAATTTGATGGTTTCAATAAAAGTTTTTATTTTGCAATGTATAACTTAAAGTAAGTCATAATTAAATGATATTATATATGCAATATATGATATCATTATATTCTCTTATTTAATAAAGCCAATCAAATAAGAATGAATTCTTTTTTTCTACATTTTTAAGGGTGCAATGCAAAACATGATATCTATTTTTTTCTGATCTTTCAAGTTATTTCCGGTATATTATAAAAATACTTTAATTTGTTTGACAAAGATGTTATAATTAGTACAAATTATAGTAATAGGGAATAACACATGCTTGGCATTTCTCCTTCCAAATACGTTTAAGCGCTTTCAAATCCATCAGAGCTTTGAGAGTAAAGAAAGAAGCTATCGAACTACGTTACAGATTGTATTACACTTAGTCCGAAATCAAACCAACATAACACTTTGAAGTACAGTTTGTATCTTTCTTATCGTATTTATATTTCACAAATAAAGTAACAAAAATTATTACATTCCCGTATAAATGCACATTACAAAAATATATATTTCTATCCTCCTTAAATTAATCAATTGTATGGGAATATATTTATATAAAAGAAATTAAAAAATAAAATATAAATATATAAGTCACATATTTTTATGTTAAAAATTTAACCGGATAAACTTTCTCATATCTATTTCCAAGATGTTCTACTTCTAATTTTATCGTAGAAACATTGGAAAGTTACAAAGAGAATCCGGATGAAGTATATATTCGGAGTCTTGTGGATTACAGAAAGATTGTGTCGACACGATATTAAGAAAAGCTGGATAATCCATATTAACGGGATCAAGACACAGTCGCGTAGACTCTTCACGAAACTCGATGTTTTTTAACTAGAAGCACGTTTTCGAACTGTAATTTTGGAATCATTGCAACACGATGTTGACGGTAAAAGAAAAATAAAACTTTCACTAGGAAAATAACACAGATTGGAGGAATTAGAATAAATGTCCGTGTAATAGCTAAAGTTAATACGCAACAGTGATTTATGTAGCGAAAGAAGAGGATATTACACTTTTGTTTGTACACTTTCATCATTGTCGCTTTAGAATGAGAAAGCTACGCTGGAATATAAAAGCTACGTATTTTTGTATTTTGCCATTTTCCAACTTCATCTCGTGAAAATATACTTGGTACACGTACATGTCGTTAATACATTACAGTACAAATATTGAAGCGTCGTTTTTGTATGTGATTCTTTCGCGAAACAAAAAGAATAGGTTTATGAAATTTTGTTTCTCTTATGCAGCACACGAATCACTACGATAAAGCAATAAAATCGCAATTGCGAAAAAAGCAGAGCTTATCGCGAACTCATAAAAACTTACGTCAAATATACTCGCAGTTATTTTTGCTATGTGTGTGTGTGTGTATGTGTGTAATTTCTACTTCCGTTCCACTTGTAAATCAAAACGGTCAGAAAACATTTCTGAAAGATCTCTACGCAGAAATAGTTTTAAATTGGTTGCAACAGCACCGTTAAAAAATACTTTGTTTGCTGAGATTTTATTAATATGAAAATAATATTTTTAATATCTTGTTTATTACTTTACAATATATATTTTTTAATTATGATTGCACATTTGTATATATGCGATGTCTAACAAAACTCACAATTTTAATATCTGCAAACCCTTTTTCTGATTAATTTAAATCTTAATTAATTAATCAATCTTTTTAAGGGAAATAACAAAGAAAATTATATATGACTATATTTCAATTTTTAACATCATATATGTTTCTAACTAAATCTCAAATTAAAATTCTTTTGAAGAAAAGGAGAAAGCTTCAAAGTTTTAATTAACTGAATTCAATGAATAATGACTTTGTTACCCATTTCAACTCTTTAGTTTGCAAGAAACTTTTTTTCGTATAATAGATGGAAATTATTAATGTTCGACATTTTCATTAATTTAATCGTCAAGACTATTTCATTGATGTTTAGACTGTCGAAGTTATATAATTGCACATACATATGATCTGGATAATAAAAGATTCTACTCTTTGCTAAATAATTAAAAAATATATTATTTACAATGTCATGTTTATGTGATAACATAATATTATTTTTTGAAGTTAGGTATTTCGTGGTCAGGAGTTTGCTTTTACATTTATTGTTAGATAATAACTATATACATATAGCACAAATTTGCTATAAGATAAAATTTAGAAAATTTTAAATCTGATTAAAATTAAGACTACCTTGCATATGTATAGAAACTAAAAATTGCAGAATAGTTTAATACGAGTGTTAGACAATATATAATATTTTTATTTTTATACATTCTACATTTATATATATTTTACTTCTCCACTTTTATGACGCAGATTTGTAAAATGTAATCTTTTGAATACGAAACTCTCAACGTGTATTGAAACTTTCTTCTTCTTATGATAATCGTGAATTCCATAAATATTCTGTAACAACTCGAGGACAAACATTTCCGTAGAAAAATTCTGAAAAATCCTAGTGAAATATTTTGCATGCCTGAACGCGAATATCGACACAATGCAGTGATAGATCGCTTGAAAGCGTGTCTCTCAATCTTATGCGTGGCTGTAGCATCTCGACAGAATAACTATTTTGTAGCCACTCAGATTTCTTGTCCTGGTTTAATTGTTCTCATTTTTGACGATTTATCATTCATATGATATTTTGCCATTGTTGATAAACGCACGATTTCGATGCAATGCAATGTTTTATAAAGTTTCAACATTTCAATAGCTCGATATAAATGCAAATTCTACAAATATGAAGGCAAAACATAATATTTTCATGTCGTCCTTTTTGTTAATATTACTTATATTTTTCAAGTTATCTATTCGAGATTGTAATGAATATAAATATTTTTAGTTTTATATTTAAATGAATGAATCAGAAAAATTCGATGAAAACATCTGTGTAACATTTTATTACACTTTTTACTTAAGGGTTAAAAAAAACCATCGCTTTTTTTCTCTAGATATGCGCGAAAGTGCGTCGAGATAAATGGGGGTATGCAATTATCGAAATCACATTTCACTCAGCACTCGAGGAAATCCAATACCATCCCTATCGTCTGCGTGCGAAAATCGAGTTCGAGACTTGTAATACCTTGTGTAAAGTAAGCCCGAACAAAAAGAAAACGCGATATTCTATTTCATGGCGTGGGAAGAAGGGAATATATAGATTCATTTTTTCTTGTCTATTCTTGTAGAAAATGATAATTTTTCTATTTATATAGTTTTCTTTTCTTATTTGTTCAAATAAAATTTATTTAAAAATTATATTAGTATTTAGCTAATATTTACACTCGTATTGAATTTATAGATATAAAAAATAGACTTAGCATGCTATGCATTTTTTATAGAATATGTTGTATTAACTATCACGAGAGAAGATAAAAAAGACGCGGGCAGTTTTTTACACCTATAAAGTAAATGTAAATCACACAATGATTGCAGTTATTTTAATTCTAGCTTATATTAATAACATTTTTCTTTCATTATTTTTTATAACAAATACAATAGATGTTAATAAAAAATACAAAAAGACGACCGAAAAATAATTGCTTGAACATCTTAACCTAATTTTAAAGTTAATCGCAATTTCTTGTTTAAACATTAATTTTTAAATACTCGAGTCCATTTGATTACATTGATTTTTTGTTCGCATAAATCTTTTATTATAAAAAAAATATGTAGGGGAAGAGCTAGTCTCTTTCTCTCATATCTTTTTTGCATTGTTAAATTCTTCTTGAAATTCTAAAGATTTTTTTTTAGTATAAAGTTAGATATTGCATGTAATTATGCAAAATTATAGTCGGATGAAATATTCTGTTCTATATATATATGCACTTGTTATTTATGTACATAAAAGAAACATCATTATAACAATCAAGATGATATTATATATAAAAAATTCAGTATATACAATATATATAAATTTAGATAATCTAAAATATAAATTTAGTTATGATCTATATGAAAGTTTTCATTTCTCAGGTATAGCGACACTTTATATTAACGTTAACGACTTAACAATTATTCTCGTGATAATAGTTTAAACAACAGGTGCAATTCGTGCTACAGCAACTTTATTGTAATGACAAAAGCTTACTCAGAAAGCAGTTGCATTTTATAAATTGAATCTTTATAAATTACTTCTATTTTTTAAACAACAAAAACTATGATAATTAAAAACTGACAATAGAAAAATTATGATATTCCTAAAACCAAACAAGAAATTTTGTTGCGCTAAAAAATTACTTTAAATAAAGCTAGTGATATCAATAAAATATTCGACATTATTTTTGGGAAGATTTTTAAATCAATTATATAAAAGATAAGTTCAAAAATATTTTATTTTAAATTAATAATTATTTTTTTTAATTAAGTAGAGAATTAAATATTAAGCTTTTCTAGTCTAAATTTAATCTAAGAGAAATAAAAGTTTTAGAAACTTTAAGTTCCTTTTTTTCTCTTATAAATAATATATAAAATTTATTTAACGCGAATTAACTTTTCTTAACATAATTCAGGCTAGTACATATCTTTATAAATATTATGTCAATCGACAAAATATATAAGTATCTAATTTAAGCGCGTAGAGTAATTCGCAAAGATTTTATCAAACACATCTGTCTTTACCAAGTTAAGACGCGCTTAAGTAGTTTTGGGGAAGTAAGCCACTTAAGCATACGTCTTAGCTTATAATAGATGTATCAACGTATCTCAAACTGCTATCTATCTTTATCTCATCAGTATAACATCGTATTCTCAATCCATCTTCTCGAAGAGCATTTCTACTGGATTATTCTGGAATCACTGAATGATCAAATAAACTTCGTTTCGCTTCTCTGCTTCCTTCTTCTGTCCGCTTGTCATCGCGAATCGACATCGAGGTCGTGATTTCGTTGCAAGAGGAACAAATACCTAAAATAAAGTACGTTCTTGGTTTCTTTTTTTCTCGATTGCAGTCCAATGATTTGGGTATCGCAGTATCGAGAAATGAAGATGATGACAGGTCACGGCGTCGCGCAGGTCATCGCTGACGTTGGGAGCGATCAGCAAATGACGAATCAGGCGAATCGCGTGCCAATGTGTCTGACACAGGCCGACACCGTTGCTAGTGTCACATTCTTCCTATTACTGATATTGCTCTTCTTCGTCGCGCCGTTCGTGATACTCGTGGTGCTCTACTCGTTCATCGTAAATCACCTTGTTCGTGACTCGTCCGGGACCACCAGCGACTCGTATCACAGCCGTGCCAGGAAGCAGGTGGTGTACATGCTGCTGACTATAGTCATAAGTTTCTTCGTGTGTCTGTCACCCTACCGTCTCCTCATCTTCTACATCGTGATAGCGCCCGCCGAAGAGATAGCCGCGATCGATTATGACACGTTCTTCGGGCTGCTCAATTTCTGCAGGATCATGTTTTATTTGAACAGCGCCGGCAATCCGATACTGTACAATCTGATGAGCAGTAAATTCAGACGGGGTTTCCTCAAACTGTGCGGTTTTGCGAACGAAGAGAGCTCGCATCTGAGAAGCATGATCGTCGGCGCGAGAAGAATCGCGGCGAATCAGGAGGATCCAGATCAGGAGGAACATTTTTTGTGAAATATACAGCAAGAAATGCAATATGATTTGTGACTTGCTGTCCAATACGATGCAATAATACGTTTCCACGTATAAAAGATCAATGACGTGTTAATGAAAGTGTCAATTGATATCAAACAAAATGTTAGCGTTGACATTTTTACAACCGGAAAACTAGGCTCAATTTGATATGCTTATTATAAAACAAAATGTGAAAATATTACAAAATTACATACATATAGTAAAACGATATGAAAATATTAAAAATAAAGAGAAATATAGAAGTATCGGACAGGTATATTTATTGGAAAGAATATGAAAACATTGAGAAATTATAAATATAGTATTAATGAAAATAGAAAAGTATTGGAAAATTATATTTATAATAAAGAACCGCGGATGCATTAAGAAATGGGTAACGTGTTTTTATTTGGACTCGCAATAAAAATCACTGGAAGAAACTTAAGACTGAATGAAAAAAAGAAGAACTTCTCTTTGTGTTAAATTGAATGGGACTATTGTGAGAAAAACTTTTGACATTCTAAGAGATATTCAACTTCGTAGACTTTTGCGAAAGTTGTACACAAGAATTGAAAGATTGGTACGAATAAATAAAAAGTTTCGAAAAAGTAATGTGATTTTATTATTAATATAAACGATTGAGTGTATACGAATCTAATATATTAAATGTCACACGAATATTTCTTATATTAATATTTTTAATATGAAAATATATGGAATTTACGTGAATGTTCTTCTTAACTTCTTTTTTTTCCGCAAGTTCGATTTTATTTTTAATTATTATAAATTATTTATATTGATTACATACACTTTGCACAACAATAGAAAAACTTTTATTCAAATATTTTTTTAAGCTATCATATTTTAGAGAGACTTAACGCTGCATGGTACGCAATATTCACGCAACATATTATGCTAATTTACTAAAAGCTTCGTTATACGCGATACATGCTCGCGATAATAATGAATCTCTGTCTCTTTTAACATATTTTAGTCCTATATTGCTAATGGTGACCTATGAGATGGAGGAAAACGTCGATGGAACGTACATCCCTACTTGTACTACACCAGCTTCAACCACCTGGATGATGGGCTTCATTCTGACGACGATCGTGGTATTCTTCCTGATTCCTCTACTGATCTTGATAGTTCTGTACACGGTGATCGCGAGACACCTGATGGCGAATCCGACAATAAGCCGTGGACCGGCGAACAATTTGCTTAAATATCGCAAGCAGGTAGTCCTGATGTTAGGTACAGTGGTGCTGTGTTTTTTTCTGTGTTTATTGCCCTTTAGAGCCCTCACTCTCTGGATCATCATCGCGCCACCCAAAACGGTCGTCTCGCTCGGCATAGAAGGCTACTACAGCCTCCTGTATTTTTGTAGAGTCATGCTATATTTAAACTCGGTGATCAATCCGATTTTGTATAATCTAATGTCGACAAAATTCAGGGAGGGTTTCCTTAAGCTATGTGGCCTGGGACCTACTAGACGGAAAAAGAAGAAGACGTCGGAACGTACGGGTACTTATACGACCGGATCGACCAATTGCAGCAGCAATCAATCGGATTTCTGGCGAAGACAAAGCAGCAACAAGAGTTGCAGTGTTAAAGTATCATGCAACGATCAAGCACCTACGGATAAACAGATTAAATTGCCTTTGCTAACGGCCGTCGTGGCCGGAAGTATTGTTAAAAAGAAGCAAGAAAGTTACGTTTGATTCTTCGTGGGCCAGGCTGATATAACACGCTTTGTCTTGTTATTCTGTCTTTGCTATATTTTTTCAACTTTTTATATCATCTTGCAAAATATTAGAGAATTTTCAAGCACTATATCTCTCTCAAGGTAATATATATTTCAATTAATATTTTGCATATAATGATATAATTTATTAAGCCACACTTCATAAAGGATTAAACATAGATCGATGAATTGCGCAATAATAAACTGGATTTTCTCTCGTCTTCGATAAATCTGCTCGAGCTTTTGTTATCCTTTACTATCTCAGTATTTCCATGATTATGTGATTGGATAATTTATTATTAATGTAAAATAATTAATGATAGACTATTTAAATATTTTCTAGCGCAATGGCTATAAAATAATAATTAATTAAATGTTTACTCTGAGTGTTATTACGTCAGCAGTAGATTAGAGACGATTCACAAGTCCAAACGAGATTAGAGTACAATAATTATATTAGATATCTGCTGTGAGATCATATGATATATAATTTTACTTCCTTGATTTTATATGTAACATACGTTGTATAAAATGTTATAGACATATAAGCTATATATATATATAAAACAAGTAGAAATTCTTCCAAGAATTAAGAAATGTGTAAGAAAAGTAAGAACGCAACCTCTCTTTTTTGTTCCTAAATATTTTAATCGTGGTACATTTAACTTAAAGATTTAATAGTGTAAATAGTTATAGACAAAGAAAAATTAAATATTGTTGATATCGGAAAAAAATGCGCTATTGCAAAATTCAGATAGGGAATTCATTTTTTAATGATTTTTTTTATTATATTTCGCTTTTTAACATTAATCAGCATTGAGATTGTTATATTTTAAAAATCAGAATTCGCTATTCCACCGATGAAATTAATGATAAAATTCAATGAAGCAAGATATTATTAAACATTGATATAAAAATGAAAGCAAAACCATAAATTTTATGTATAAGTCAGAATTAAATTTTAACTTTGTTGATGCATTTTGTTATTGAGCGTAGTAAATATTTTCTATGATGCAGGCATCTGAAATACTTTTTAATGAGAATAGGTGATTTAAATATGAAGTATAGTCACTTGCTGAGAAACTATCGTATACTAAATAGCATTGTAAAGTAGTAAATTTACATAAAATATTCCAAAAATTACGAAGCTTTTGTGCAATTGTGTAGAAATGCTCATATAAAAAGAAATTCTAGAAATTTTTAATAATAGCTACATCTTGTTTTCTATAAATAAAATAAAAGAAAAGTCTGACTTAATGTATATTATGTATGTGTATGTTTGTGTGTGTATGTGTATATGTGTATGTATGTATATGTGTGTGTGCGCGCGTACGTATGTATACATAGTTGTTTTCATTATTAAGCTAATGATAATTTAATTATGTAAACGCACAGTTGACTCGAAAAAATGTAATTTTGTTAGATGTGTTATTTTTGGTGCCATTTTTTTTATTAGTGAGTACTCTTTAATAAAAATAATAAGTTAACTATTTTTATTATTATAATTACCAAAGATATTTTAAGAGAGGGAGACAGAAACATTTTACAAAAATTTTATCTATAAAAAATTTATTATATTAATTATTGCTATTTCAGTTGATATCAAGTTAACAACTTTTTTAATATTATTGAAAATTTAATATTACAAAAATTATACCAATATTGTACTTTACTCTTTTATAGAAAATAATAAAATAAGCTATATGGTATAAAATCTTGAAATTTAACACTGAAAAACGCATTTATCAGAAATAGAATGTATATAAAAGTTACGACCAATATCAAATATAGTATAAGATATTGATATCTACTATGTTAACGCGTATTCAATAGAAGCTGTGGTTAATTAAGCAGCAACACATATTTGTGAATATTTATTGTTTAGATTTACAGATATAAATCTAAATCAATTATGTTCACACAATTGATGCTTATTTATTATTTCTAATAAGTACCATCATGTATTATCGCGATAGCAAACAAAATTCAACGCAAAAATCTTGTATGCAGAGTAAATCGAAAATCTGCCATTTTTCTAAATTGTAAATTTATATGTATAATATATACGAGTATAATCTAATTTTTTAAATTTAATTGTTGAACATTAAATATTGCAAATAATTTGTTATTTGTTTTTAATATAAAATACATATATCGATAATAAATTCTCGAATAAAATAAATCGAGTAAAAAATCTATGAAGTGAAATTTGCTTTGAAGTCTAGAAATTTGCGATTTAATGTGCTTAATTTCCGATATCAAATAAACATGAAATCTATACTTCTATCTATCTATCTTTGACAAATATTTCCGTGAAGCGAAACTTCTAATTCATTAAGAAATTTATAAAACATAAACGCGCGTTTTGCGCGTCATTGATATTATTTCTATTATTTATTTTACAACTGTCAAACTGTTAATCTTCACGATGATAGTTATTTACTATGAATGTGACCATAATTTTAATTCGTCAATTTTTCGCGAAATTATCTACACTTTCATTAGACTCACGCGAAACTCTATACCCCATACCTTTATCACGCTGCGCGGTTCGCGCGAGACTGATTCTCGTTCGAGGTATCGCGAGCGCGGGACCGATGGTCACATGACCAGTAGTCACATGACCACTCGTCACATGACCAGTGGTCACGTGACCATCGGTCCCGCGCTCGCGATACCTCGAACGAGAATCAGTCTCGCGCGAGCCGCGCAGCGTGATTAAGGTATGGGGTATAGAGTTTCGCGTGAGTCTAATAAAAGCGTAGATATTTGATTACAAAAGATTCTTGTAGAAAATTTTATTTTTTTGTTCGTATTTTTGTTAAAGATTTAAATATTAAATTTGTACATTGCATAATTAATTAATGTATTTTTATACATGCATTACAATTTTTAAGATTTTATTATCAAAGAATAATATATAAGTTCGCTTTGCGCACGTAATTATATTCGGTTAGATTAAACAAAATAATATATATATATATATATATATATATATATACTTATGTATATATGTACATATATATATGCTACATAAATTTAATATCTATAGATTTGTTAATACAGTAGGAAGTTACATATAAAAGTAATTCTGTCGACTCATTAATCAAATTCAGTTTTGTTATCAAATTTAATTATGATAGCAAATTATTGTTAGTATAGTAAATTGATATAATAGTTAATTTGAGAAATACAATTCAATAATTTTTATTAAAACATAATAAGTGTATATAATTAATAAAGCATAATCTATTTATTATCGAGTTAATATTAATAATGATAAAGCGTCTATTAAAATATTATTATAAGCGTATTGTACTAATTTGGGAACGTTGCTATTTTATCTTTCATTCTTATTAACGTTTTGTTCTCAGAATAAATATAAGTTCATGTATTACACATTCGATACAATATTTAATACAATACAATATTTAAAGCATTACGTTCGCTAGAACGTGTGCATAATAATTATTTGAATGTAATTAATTGAATGGAAAAGATTTCAAGAAAATTGTAACAAAATACGATTAATTTCTATCGGATAAAATTACAACAATGTATTATAAGATCGTAAATTCTTATTTCTGTAACATCGTTTATTTCTGTTTATTTATAATTAAGAAAATAACTATATTGCGATTTAATTATTACATTATTTATTAAAATAAATCACAAATAGAAAGACATAATTTAATTTATTAGGAAAATATATGATTTTTGTAAATATCTTACACAATTAGACATATTTTTATTAACAATCTATCAATCTAAAATCTAAGGTACTTATTCGCTTATTTATACGATATGCCTTTGCTTCGTGAGAAATAACCCATAATTGCAACTATAACTAGAACGTAAAAAATTAAATAATATCCAGGAAGAAATAATTTTTTTACTTAAAGGAATAGACTCTAGAAATTGCATAATTCCACTTCATCAATTCAGGCTCATTTGTCACATATCGCGTTTTACAAAAATGATATCATTTGCCAAGTTATCTGATTGTTCCACAAAACTATAAACATAATATCCCCTTTGTTCCATCATATCGACTAGATACTTTCGTCCTTTCGGATTGTGTATGTATTCCACAGACAGGGTCTAAAACGTATATATGCATATGTATGTCGATCAATATGCGGAAATAATTACGTTTTGTTTATAAAAGCGGAAAGGAAACGAAGATGCGACGAGTAAAGCAATCGCGCAAACAGAAACGTAGAACTTTCTGAATAGATCGCACCAAGCGATCAAGTATATAATACATACCTTTATATCCACCTCGTTAAACGGAATTGTTTCTAACACGTCGATCTCATTGCCTTCGACGTCGAGACTTAAATAATCGATTGTCTTGATTTCCAAGGCCGCGATGTAAAGTATCAATGGCAAGCATTGCACGCGGATGTGCTCGCCCGTGTAAGCCACGTCGAGCGTATTCGCGGGTACATCTTCCGTTGTATTCAGGGGTTCATGCAGACGCCCGACATTCCTCGCCATGAGAAAAGACGCCTGTAATTTTAAGAACGTCACGTTACATTTTATCATCAAAGCGATCGCGTAATATTCTGAAGTTTGAGTAACGTCTTGAAGTTCAAGTAACATCTTTAATACTGAGAAATTGGAGCTCGAGTTTCGCAACTGATAGCATTGTCACGAAGTTATCGTTAACGATGACAAGTCATTGATTATTATTCCTTACCACTATGGGGTTCTTAATAATGCTGAGACACGTCGGCGAGAGATAAGCTCGCCTGTTTTTCTGAAGCATTTTTGTAAAATTGATAGGATCCGCCTCTATTAGAAGACCCGACCATCCATTAAATTTCTCCAGGAACAACGTATTGCTACGAGTTTCCCCGTCGTACGCACCACATTCTATGAAAAATCCATTTTTCTGTAGAGAATAATAAATAAAAATTTGATATTTATTAATACAAAAAAGATTCTCTCGAGCGAGTCTAATTCACCGTATTCATTGAATCGTTTTATGTTCTTGCGAATTCTCTTGCATTTTTCCATTAAATTATTACAATTGTTTTACTACCTTATCATTGAAAATTTCGCGTATCATAGTTGATTGTCCCATCGATGGATCTTTAACATCCGGTTCTTGAAGAATATATGACTTATTCGAATTATAATTCCATATTATCCAATTCTGCCGAATATCCGTCAATAAAGTATGATAATTTTCTGGATTTAGTGCGGATATATTTTTCCCGTTGTACCACTTTTCACCTAAATAATTGTTTATTAATCATTAAAATAGGAAATGATTTTTTAGATTTATGTCAATTAATTATATAATAATATACCAGGCGCTTCAATTAAACAATTATTTTTTGGAAAATAAATATTTCACATATTAGTAAAAAGAATATATTATAACCAATACAAATTATAAAACAAAAATGTCTTATAATATATAATAATAATATATTGAACAATTTTTTAAAGATCTTTAAAAAATTATTCAATAATTTTCTTATTTAATCAGAAAATAATATTGATAAAAATCAATCAATATCAAGATTAGAAAAATTGCCTGATAGATATAGTTATGTTAGTAATTCGAAGTTTAGTATGACGGTGTTATTTGCATAATGCAAACGAGAGTATTATATCATACATTTGATTATCATATGGTAGATACATAGAATATTATACACTTGGGTCGTGTTTTGTTAATTATATTCACAAATGTTACAATTTAATAATTGTATCGGTAACGTATTAATGACGACGAATTTTTCAATGTCTAATTTGCAATTCTACGTTTGATTGATATTTTAATAAAGAAGTCACTTCGGAAAAAAATTCTTTTTTAAGCATCAATCTCGCGTACATTCATTATAGATATGAATCACATTTACTAATTCAATAAAAAGAGATGCAATCAACTTTTTCTTTTGCCTAATCACTTATCCAATAAATATCGTCCAATATAAATTCTATATAAATAATAATTTATTAAAGCCACTTACCGGCAGAAAAATTATACCAAGTCCGCAACACTACAACAAAAACGAAAAAGAGATTATTGTTTTTCCGTCACGAAAACTCATAGGAAAAAAGAAAGCAAGTTTGCAAAAATTCTCACCAGTTTTGTAAAGATCTTCGGGTACATCGTCCAGATATGTGTCATGTTTTATAATGTTTGCCTCGTGAACAGTCGGATATTTTATGAAAAATAAAATAATAATTGCACATGAAGTCAACACAATCAAAACGGCCCACTTTCGACGCCAACTGTAGTTCAGAACTCGCGTGTGCACGCGTTGATAGTTACATGCGTTGACTGGCATCGTACTGACATGAGAGAAGCCCGAATGACTTCTTCCATGTGAATCATGAACGAATGAAATGCAAGGAATCAGCAGAAAGGCTCATCACAGCTGTTGCATACGCGTGACTTATCTTCAACATTTAAATATCACTTGATGTTTATATATACATACATATATATATATATAATAGTGTCAATCTTAGACAGTGACGATTAGTACTAATTATAATTTAATACTACGTGCACAGGGCTATATATAATAACTACCATGTTAATAAGTAATTCCTTTGAAATGATATGTGCAAGGTAAATTTAAAGCGAAAACAATGGACCAAATATAAAAATAAAATAAATCGTTTGTCCGCGTTATAAATTTATTTTATAACTTAAAGACAAATCTTCATTTCAAACACTTGTTAGAAATGCAGTCAATAATCTGTTAAAAATAATTTTATTCTTTTACATTTATTGCCTTATGTAATGTCTAATTGGAACTAATCAAAACAGATGATTAGCTCCAGTTAAGTTGATAAATTCTTTCTAATAGAAATATATATATTTATATAATAAATATATATTAATAAAAATATATATTAAAAAATATATATAATAAATATATAAATTATCAAAAAAAATATACGTCACAAATATTCTCTGATGAAATTTTAGCTTGTTTTATCTGCTTATATAGCATTAATTATTGAACCTTCACGCGAATTAGACGAGATTGAAAAGCAGAGAACAAATATCTAAATGTTACAATTTTGTCTTTTATATCGTTACGTGTTCTATTGTGAATGTAGAATGTATAGACTCTCAATTACGGGACAACCGGAAAAACGTAACGCGACATGTGAGAAATATACATAACAATGCGACAATACTGTACATAGGTATTGTGATGAAAAGATTTTTTTATACAAATATGTAGATTTGCAAATAATTTTTTTAAGTTTTTTAATTCTCGAATATGACATGAATTTTGATAGAGTTATTGTTTAATAAGTTGTGTCTCTAAAATATTCTGCTTTTTCGAAAAACCTCAATTTGCATATCTAATATGTAATATTGATGAATATAGAAAAAGAAAAAGAGAGAAATCACTAGTATACTTAAATACTTTAAATGTTTTTGGTCAATGGTTTAAACTTGTTTGTCAAAATTAACAAATATAAAAATAAAGATACAACGAAACGATAAAAATTTCGACTGAAAATTAATGCAACAAAAAATAATTAAAGATTCATTTACCGAATGAGGTGCAAATAAAAATTGTAAACTATTTTGTATAAATAGAAAATATTTACTCGTAACTATAATATTTTTTTCTACAATTTATATATTTCTACAAAATACAGTATGTACTTTGAATTATTTTGTGTTTCTCGATTATCGTTTGCATCCATTATAATTGACACAAACAAATATATAATGCTAATAAACTTTTGACCTTTTATAAGATAGTCTGATTCTACAATTTTTTTAAGCAAAATTGAATCACTGAATCTGTCACAAAGTGCTTAGATAACAGTTTCTCTCTCTACTTTATTTTTGAAATCTTTTATTTTATTCTTGTCGAAATAATTATTAGATTGTTAATCATTATATATCTAAGTTGATATTATTGAACCAAATCTTTTACACGCAATAGTTGATTTGGTAAGCACAGTTTGTTTTAGAATTAAATGGCAAAGCGACAAGATGCTCACGTAATACATGAGGAACTCGTTTACTATGACGTAACGCTATCACACACAACGTATGCACGCATACGATGATCTAAAGCAGCAATGCAAATGTATCACGACGTCGACATCGAGATAAATTTAGCACGAACGGTTTGATGAACGCGTTAGATGAATCGTGTCATTGTGAAACAATGAAATGATAGTTTTCGCAATAATATTTTTGAATATTTTTGGGAATAAAATATACGTAAATGAAGCGAGAACAAATCAGCGCCATAGCCCGACTACGAATCACGCACATAAACATCAAAGTACTGTCGATCCCGAGTTCGGAAATACTCTTTCGGACATATGCATGAGTATATATGTATGTATATATATACATACAAGATGTTCCCGAATGATCGAGTTTAAATCTAAATGCTCAAGTCGCCTGTCGGCTGATCACACGACAGACGTTCAATCAATTCGGGTTTGTGGTAGAATTTCCTACATATCACAGAATAAACTTATAAATTAAAGTTTGATCAGATTATGCCTGTAGATTTCCATTACGTAGAAATATATGTTAATATCAGTGCATTTGACGGAGAGAGAAAATATAATTGCAAAATACAAATAAATTATAATTATTTTCTCTTTTTGTATATACATTTTTACAATAATTTTGTTCTTGTTTATTTCATAAGGATTATAAGTTTCAAAGAAGAAAAAACAACAAACAATGTTGCTTGATGTTCAGCAGAGATCAGTCCAGTGTTCACACCATTGCAGGCAAGTATCAATAATTAATTCTAGGAATTTTAAGAAGAATCTAAAATTAATTTTTTCAGAAAAAAATATTGAGAAAGATAATTATTTATCACCACTTTCCAGTTTCTAACATTAATCCATTAGCGCCCAAAGTTCTTAAACTTGAAGGATGAGCGTGTCATAAAAATTTCAACAAACTCTCATATCTGTTAGAACTTGTTTTCTAATTTTAACATTTTAATTTTAATATTACAGTTTGTTTCAATCAGATTTTGACATGAACATTGTTTTAGTTTTATTAAATTGTAAATTATTTTAAATAACAAAAATTAAATTTTTAGCTATAAAAAATTTACACATGTCTGGTTTTAAACAATTTGAATTAAATATTCTTATAGTTAAATTTGAAATAATTTTATTAAAGTAAAATTTTTATTACTGTCAACTGAAGAAAAATGAACATGATTTCTTTATTTATTTTTGTACTAAAGCTTAAAGAAAATATTTTGCAAAAAAGTTATTAATTCTAATCTTGAATTAGTTAGAAATTAGAAATAATTGCTAATTATTCAATAATAATCGAATAGTTAGCATTCTCTAAAAGAATTTTGAGATAATTTATCTTAAAGAAAATATCAAAATACAGATTATTTTCAGATTTTAGTGATTATATATTAATAATAAAAATTTTCGCATTTTATTATACAATTCAATCTGTTTATGGACATTCTGTATTTTGTATGGGTATATATGATATATGAATGTATTTTTTATATTACTAACAATTACAAAAATCATATAGTATATTTAGTTCCACGTACACGTTGAACACAACATGTACAAATTACGAAGATTAATTTTTTTTCCTAACATAGATTGACTTATCTATTATTAAAATATTGTTACTCATGTCAGCATGTAGTCTTTGTTAAAAGGACTTTACTCAGGAAAAAATGAGGACTTTTTTACGTAAGGATGCACATCGCGTGTGTCCTCGCAATTATACGCATAATCGCGCGCTTAATGCACGGTGATGACGAATGACAACTTGGAAGATGAATGTATATTATAAAGTGGTATTTTTCAAAATTGATATTATTAATTGTACTTCCTGACACACGATTTATCAACGTAAACGTATATAGATATGAATGACTAGCAATAATTGCTGGAACAAATATAGAATTTTGTGTGTATAAATTGAATGGAAGTTTTCATTATATTAATATGAGATACTGTAAATTTTCTATTTGCTTGTGAGATTTATGTACATAAAGATTTGAACGATTGTATATTCAAATCAACGGTGTACTGTATTTCTCAATTTAATTAAGTTTAATATGCATTCTAAATAATGAATACTACAACTCAGCCAGAGAAATGATTGATCACATTGATTCGACGATGAATTGACGTTGATTTGACATTATTTCTGGCTGGGAAATAATACAATATTTTATGTTACAATTAGGTAATTTGTTTAGATTATTAGATAATAGTAATTCTATTATTTTATATAATATAACAAAAGGAGTGCACTGTCAATATCGCTATAAAATACTGCTATATCTTCTTTTAATTTCTTTGAATTTATAGTTTATTAGATATCCAATTATATCGATAATGATAACGTTTTTTTTTCTTTTTAATATCAAAGTGATAAAATTACTTTTATCTAAACAAATAAAATATACTTTTCAATATTGGATTAAAAATAAAAACTGGAATAGTGCTTGAGAAATTTATTAATATAAATGTATATGTCTTAAGACGTATCATAAAGTATAATTATATCAACCTTTTGTTTAATTTACGCAATTAAAAATATCATTATTAAAAAATTTGATATAATTATCAACTTGATATAAAAAATAATTACGTAGCGTAATTTTATAAGACTTTATTCCGGTATAGTTATTTCGACGCTTTGTCCATCTTTAGAAAAAACAAATCTAGAATCCTTATAACGCAAAAGATTTGCAGATTTTTTAACTGTCCACTCTCTATAACCGATTTTATAAAATAATGGTAACCGATTGAATCCACCATCGATTGCCAATGAATCGTTATAATCCCATTGGTTATCCATCAGTTTGTGCGCGTGTCTCTTTTTCGGCGTTTTTAAAATCGAATCTTCCAGCATCACAGATTTTGCAGGTAAAGTTGTTCGGCCCTCTAGTAAAGCCAAGAAATATTGCACCTAAAAAAATAAAAATTTGCAAAATATTTATACAAACGTACAAGTCTATATAATTTAATAAAATGTTTATAATTAAATATAACAACACAATAAAATAAATTTTTGCAAATATTCTTACTTTTACAATCTTTGTATATTAATATAGTCAGAGCTAAAATTAAATAATATTAAAGTTTTAGAACAATTGTGTGTAAGAACAATTAAAAGAGATAAAGAAAGAAGATTGTTAAAATAATATATTCATATAAATAAATATGCAAAATATCAGAAATTTATTAAAACAAATATTATATTATTTTTTCTGTATAGCTCATGTATTATAATAATACAAAACTTACGAACTAAATTATGCGTGTTATTATATAATGATAGTTACAAATTATGTCTAAAGTTAATTTTATTGTGTTGTATTAGATAGAGTTATGATAGATAAATTGTTATAATACCTGCATATGAAACATAGGGAAAGGCACAACGATCATAGGTACACCGACAATACACATCGAAGGATGCTCAATATTTATGAGATGTTTGTAAAGCGGTGTTACATAATTATTGTCGATCCGTATACCGCAATTTTCATTCAAGAAGGGAAAGTTGTATTTGTATCCAGTACAAAAAATTAAAACGTTAATGTCATCGACAGTGGTTCCGTCTCTGAGACGAAATGTAGTTTTATGTATACTTTCGATACCAGCTACTTGTATCATATTTGATGGTAGAGGACTTGTTAATCTGCAAGAAAAGAATCAAATAATTAAAATTAATAAAATCAAATAAATCTTAAATTATCTCTTTCTAATTCTGTATCTAAAGATTACAAAAGTATCTTGGCTATTTATAAATAATGTTTTTACAATTAATCGCTCACCTATGATGATTGTGACTTAAATATACACAAACAGCATATTCGGATAACTCGATCCCTATATCAATACCAGATGAAGATGCACCTAATACTATCACTTTTTTTCCGGCAAAACCATCCGGCTTTCTATACGAATGACTATGCATTATTAAACCCGAAAAACTATTAATACCAGGTATAATCGGTACATAAGGATCGAAATAGTGTCTGAAAAAGATTTATAAAATATTTGTCTAATGCCACAAACTCTCAAAATATTCAGTAGTATTTTAATTATAAAACATGCAATAATATTTGACTTGATTTACCCGTTACAAACCATAATTGCATCAAAATATCGAAGTTCCGTTTCATTTGTATTTAATTTTCTCACTTGTACAGACCATTTTTCTTTATTATTATATTCAGATGATTCAAGTCGAACATGTTCAACTTTTGTATTGAACTAAAGAAAATTAATTAATTATTAGATGACAATCAATTTTTCATCTTCAATATTGGAATATAATTACATGAATATGTCGACATATGTCAAAGTGCTGGGCGTAATTTCTCAAATAATTTAAAATTTCCCGATGATTCACGCAGCTGGGTTCTTGTGCTTCCATTGTGATATAATCCGGAAAGTTCATAATCTTTGCAGGTAAATTGGTTCTAAAAAGACAGCAAAGAAGCACTGTACTAATTTTATATTTATCAGCAAAAAAGCATTTCTTATACTATAAGTCATTTCTTAAAATATAGAAAAATATAGAATAATATTTAATTTTAATTATATTATACTTTAAGTAAAATATATTTTTTATTTCTATTTTGTATACTATTTGTGCATAGTTATTTAGAAGTAAAATATTTTAGTTTATATTTATTGAAATATTTAGCGATAATAATTAGATAAATATTTTATCAAATCATTGACAAAAATAAATTTCTAGTTTAAAAATTATACAATGTTATAAAAGAATCATTCTTTTTGTAGAGTAAAAGCAAACATTATCAAACCTTAAATTTTGATACATGCTGGAATGAATCGGTAAGCCATTCTCAAGACCAATTTGCTCCTTATAAACCCATGTACCTCCTATTTCATTCGTTTGCTCATAAACTATTGCTTCGAACTTCACATTTGCTGCTAAATGTCTCACTGCACACAAACCAGCTGCACCAGCACCGATCACACATACTTTAATTTTTTCTTCTTGATTCGCCATTTGTACACAATTTACGTATTTCTTATTCTTCTAAAGATATTGACTATTAAGAGATGTTACTCTTTATTTTTTTTACGTTCCGGACGATAAATTCAACAGATATTTATATTGTATTATTTTTTAAATGTTTCAAAACACATTGGTTAATATATTAAAAAATATAAAGATAATTTTAATTTGACACACCCGACAATTTGTAGATCGAGTAGCGCACGTTACTAAACAATATTAAAAATCTATATGTATGATGATGTGTATTATATATTGGAAGCATTAATCATTCACACACCTAAAACAGAGAAAGTAAAAAAATTAAAATATTTTTGTTTTGAAATCATGTACTTCAAAATTAATATTTAAAATTGTGAATCATACAAATAATGAATTATTTTGAAAGTAGCAAAGATTTATAATAGACTACGACTTTTTATAATATGTCTGTCCTTTTATATTTTAGAGGAATTTACACAAAACGGAAAGTAAAATACCACAAAAGATAGAGAAAATATCATTGCGATTGCTTCAGATTTCTAACTTCTACTTGCTTACTATCGCGGTTCGATAACACGGTAGATAGGCAAGTGTTTAAATACTATGTGATTATTATGCTCCGATTTTCTTACGATAAGAATTTATCATCGCAGCCACATACTTGCAAGGTCAAATAAAATTAAACACAGTAAACAATGTTATCTAATAATTTGTTAAAATTAATATTAAATTTATAATATTTGTTAAAATAAAGTAAAAGTATCATAGTTTCCATGACAGATAGATATATATTGACCAAAAAATAGATTTATAATATTCCTCGAAAATTCTTAAAAAGCTTAATAAAGCTTTGCCTTTACTTTAAAAACTATACAGCCTTCTTAATTTTAGTTTGATATTTGCTATAAATTTTCACTTAATATATTTTATTAAAGAAGAATCACGAGCGAAAAAAATCAATTAAACTTATTTGTATCAACTTTTTTCAGAAACAGTCATTACTGCTTCACATAATGATGATTGACTATATCATTATCTATGTATATTTTTACAAAAAAAATATATTATATCGTTTGAAAAATTATAGAATATATAGAATTATACAATAATATTACATACATCTGTAATACAGTCTGATTTCAAAAATTCTTCAAATTTTTTCATATATAATTTAAAAAAATGTTGAAAAAAATGGAAAGCTTTTGATAACTTAAAAAAAAGATCAGAAGAGATAAACTAAAACAGATGGACGACTTTATGTTACATTTTCTACATTATACATTGCCCTATTTTGCACTTTTATGCATGCAAAGTATATATAATTAAAAGAGCGTTTTTTCACATTCTACTAAAGAGTTTCCAGAATAAAAAAAAATCAAAACGTCAAAGCGATAAAAAGTGTAAACAATATTTTATAACAATTTAAGGGTTTTTGTTGTGTTTATACTTGTACGTGGACTATATGCATTTGAATAAGAGACTTAAATATTTTGTGATTAAAAAAACACAAGTCTAATAATTAAACGTCCCACTAAAGTTATTTATTATTTATTATTTAAAGATATATATATATACTTATAATATGATAATAATCTATATCTTTTATTTCATTAACTATTTAATGCTTGTATTAGTCCACTTTATTTTTTATTTATTCAAAAATACAACGAATATCTCCATCAAAATGTATTTATTATATTTTATATTAAAAATAGAGATGCGCGCTGAAATTTGATTTGTACGGAAGAATTATTACCGACATCTCAAAGTAAATTTCTGCTTTATCCATTATCGATATTATCAATTTTTATATTATCAAATGGACAAAGATAATATAAAAAAGAGTTTCGATATTATCGATCGCTTTCGATTATTATTCGATAGATTCAATATAAAAATTTGTTTCGTTATAATCGTGATTTACCTCTTTTGCATCACAAACGTCATCGAACGAACACTCGGGGATCAGGAAATCAATTGCAAGTTGTATTTTCAACGGGAATTGGTGACAGACGTCAACGATGACAGCAGCATCAGCGCGGCAGCTCCGTGAACTCGGTCATTTTTCGTGACCAACAAACGATTCCGCGTCGATTGACTCTCTGCAAGACTAAAATAATTGAAATTATAAACGGGGAGCTAAGTCCACGGTCATTTCCCTAGAAAATCACTAAATGTGATTTTTAGCATTTATTAAAGAAACGACGATCTAATAAATGTTCTAATTAGCATATTCGTGGCCAACAAACAATTTCGCATCGAATAAACCCTTAATAAAGTAAATTCAACAAAAATTAATTTTGCAGGGGCAAACTTTTTTTATTTTTTATTTTTTGAAAGACGGATCTAACAAACGTTTTGATTAATCTAATAATGACCTACAAACGATTAAAAAGAAAATATACATAAGTTCAAAAATAAATTGAAAATGAAGTTTACGGAAATGTTGGCGACACTGATCGCCAGTAGTAAGTATGCGCTAACGCTAGTATGAATGTGTAAGTCTATGCAACGCTGACGATGTTGACATTTAATTTCTCATCGGAATCGCTACGAATATTATGTGAATTAAACGGATTATGTGATTAATATCTTCCTTGTAAGCGGTGGCATTCCGCGCAGTTGCGTTCGATGAGATTCGCGAGTCGCAAGAATTCCAGGAACATGAGATCTTTGTACACATCAGGGCTTTGGCTCGCACGACACGCCATATTGGTTTGAAAGAATATCATCCCGAGTCGATAGAATCTCTGTGGCGAGCGTATCGTTTCTGTATATCGCGAATCGCGAATGAACCCAGTGTGATACGCGCTCCAGACGATGGAAGAGACAAAAATTATCTACCACATGGACGATGAGGAGACACCGTATCTAGTAAAGCTCAATATATCGCCGGAGAGGGTAACCCTGGCCGATTTCAAGAACGTTCTAAATCGGCCAAATTACAAGTATTTTTTCAAGTCAATGGACGATGACTTCGGGTAAGCGGCAATACGAGATGTTTCATTCTCATATTTCTTATATTGCTGATTTGTTGCTTTGTATATAGCGTCTATCAATAGAACACAATATGTTTCATTATGTTAAATTCTACATCTGTTATACATGTAACAAATTGTGATTTTAATACGAATCTTTGCCCCTATATCGATATTCGTGTGTATACACTATATATCGATCTACTTTTCTACTTACTCTTTTAACTTACGATTTATTAGCAATATTAGGAATACATATTGCGAATAATTCAACTTTCTTATTATGACGTTACGTAGACAATTGAATAATCTCTTTAATCAAACACTATTATTATTTGTACTATTTTGCAATCTATAATATAATTCTTATGCTATTTGAAACCATTTGACAGAACTTTATCCCATGATATGTTGATATAACATGACAGCGATATAACATTTTTAAAATAATAAAAACTATAATTATGATACATATTTAAGAGTTGACTTTGTTGAATATATATTGGGAAAATTATGCACAAAAGAAATAAGGATTATTAACAACTTTGTTATATATTTGTTAGTCTAATAGCAAATGTGTAATTGAAAATTATTAGATTTGATATTGATAATACAAGCTTCTGTATCAAGTTAATTTGTTTTCTTGTTTTATCAGTGTGGTAAAAGAGGAAATCATAGATGATGATGCTCATCTGCCATGTTTCAATGGTCGAGTTGTCTCTTGGGTAAGATTTATAGTGATATATATTTTTTAATATGTATTAAAATTCAAATTTCTAAACAAAAAATAAAATCCAACAAAGTAGCAAGTATTACCATTCAATATTTAGCCATACTTAGCCTTCCTTTTTATGAATCAGATATAAAATATAACAATATGAGATATATATGTATATGTATGTTCTCAGGTTTTCATAATGATTCTTCTCTCTATTTAAAATTCAATTTGATAGATATGCTATATAATATATGCTTTAATGAAATGATACTGATTTAATAGCTGGTATCCGCTGAAGGTAGCAATGTTTCGGATGGTGCATCTCAATGTACAGATTCTATGGCACACAGCGAAGCAAAACATGATCGTGTAGATCATATGACTTCTGGACATGCTACCAGAGGAACAGCTCCACTTTCACACGACGACACATTGACAGAGACAGAAAGTATTATAAGTAGTCGACAAGGACATCATTTGCATAAAAGTTCTAGACATCATTCAGAAAAATATGAAAAGTACAACAAATATAATGGTACGCTACTATTACAGAGATGTGACATTTTTATTAAATATATAGTTTATTGCTTTATAAAATATAATCCAATTATTTTATATATTTATAAAAATTTATATACAAACATTCTTACAAGACATTAAGAAATATAACAAAAGATATTTAACATGAAATATTTTTTTATATTATTTTAAATCGCGAAAAATTTTACAGGACTACGCATAAATGGTCATTCGAAACATCGCTCTGGTCATGGATATGAAACTGCTTCCATCTTGAGTTCAGATTTAGAAACGACAACATTTTTGGAATCTGACGACGATGCGACTAGTCGTATCACGTCGACGACGGGTCGGCACACCAATATGAGTAGCACAGTTGATAGAGGCACTCTGGGTATGAATAAATTGAAATACTCATTGCGGAAAGTGTTATGAAAACTTTTCATGAAATCTTATACAATGAAACCATGTGGCTAATAAATTTTTTTTATTTTGACATGTGCGAAACGCGACTTCATACTTTTTTTTCTCTCTTACAGATCGACGTCGACCACAAAGAAGACGGCGGCATAGATTACCACCCATGTCACGAACATCATCGTTTAGTAGTATTACTGACAGTACAATGTCTTTAAATATTATAACTGTTTCACTGAACATGGATACTGTTAATTTTCTTGGTATTAGTATTGTCGGGCAAAGTAACAAAGGTGGAGATGGAGGAATATATGTTGGTTCAATAATGAAAGGGTTAGTATGAATATTCTTTTCAAAATTTATTTATATTAGCAGAATAAAATAAAATTCAAGTTTTTGTCTCAATAATAATTTAGAGTACATAGAATAAAATGTCTTTGTTACTATTATATGCAACATGAAATCTCTAAGCGAGTAATTCAAGTATCTATTAATAATCTCTGTATTAAATTATGTGAGTACAGAGTAGATTTTGTATTATTTTCACTTTGTATTATAGTTAATATTTGTTTATAATAAGGCTAATTGTCACCCATAAATTTGATATTTATAATGTATTATAAATAATTTTCTATCATTTGCTGTACAATTTGTATGAAATAGAGGAGCAGTTGCGTTAGATGGTCGAATAGAACCTGGTGATATGATTCTTCAAGTCAATGATATTAATTTCGAAAATATGTCTAATGATGAAGCGGTGAGAGTATTACGCGAAGTAGTGCAAAAACCAGGGTAAGTATCAATTATGATATCTTTAATATATAATTGTTTATAGCATGTAAAGTTATATTCTTGTATTTTTCTTTCTAGACCAATAAAACTTGTAGTTGCAAAATGTTGGGACCCAAATCCTAAAGGTTACTTTACGATACCTCGTACAGAACCGGTACGTCCCATAGATCCTGGTGCATGGGTAGCGCATACGGCTGCTATACGAGGTGAAGGTTTTCCGCCTCGTCCACCAAGTGCCACAACATTAACTTCAACATCGAGCAGTCTTGCGAGCACACTACCGGATACCGAACGTAAGTTATGAGAAATAGTGTTTAACACTAAATTTTTTTATATTAAATTAATTAAATGTTACTTTAATTAGTTAAATTTTTAATATTAAACGTTCTTACAATAAATTACTAATTTTTAAGTAATTAAAAGCTTCACAACTTTTAAATAAAAATTTATTTTAAATTAAATGAAAGAGGAAAAAGATTTTTATTTTTAATTGTTTTAAACTTTGGATACATTAGTATTTCAATGTTTTTCCAAAAAAAAATTTAAATTCAAAGAATGGCATAGACAAAGGGATGGGGAAGGGGTTACTTTAGCTTGTGTATACTGAATAGGCTGATATATTTTGATTCAGGACCATTGGAAGAACTTCATTTAACAGTCAACACAGACATGCCGACAGTAGTGCGAGCAATGGCTCGATCTGATTCAGGTTTAGAGATACGTGATCGAATGTGGCTTAAAATTACCATTCCAAATGCATTTATTGGTGCGGATGTTGTGGATTGGCTGAATACACACGTGGAAGGATTTATTGATCGGCGTGATGCTAGGAAATATGCATCGCTCATGTTAAAAGCTGGTTTTATTCGGCATACAGTTAACAAAATTACATTTTCCGAACAATGTTATTACATTTTTGGTGATCTATGTTCAGCCATGAGTAGCATGAAATTAGATTGTGATACAGTTGGTCCCTTGCCACCGCCAAACGCTTGGGACATGCCTTATTCGGGAACATACGCACCACATTCAGCAACTGGTTACAGTCCCATGCCGTTTAATTTCACAAGTGAACCTACTGTCTATGGTTACCATGGGCATCGTGAAGAGAGCGTTCATAGTGGTTCGGGTAAAATTAAACATTTCTTATTTGTTTTATATTTAAAAAAATTGATTTTTTTTCCTCAAAACATATTTATATTTCACGTGCGTATATTGATATAAATAGGTGGTAGCAGTGCAGGCAGTGAACGCATATGCAAAGAACCGATTCACGATTTAAAATCATGCTCTTCAGCATCAGAATCAGAATTACATAATCCGTCGATGCCGCCAATGCCAAGTAAAAATTCTGGCAATGGTAATGGATCGAATGGAAAGAGATCTAATGGAAGTCGCAGTCGTTCTAGTGGGTCTGAGCAATCTATTCAAACAGGAACAGGATCAGGGAATCAGCAGAATCAGCAAGACTTATCTGGTAGTAGACAATCATTTCGCATTGCGATGGGGAATCCTTGTGAATTCTTTGTCGATGTTATGTAGATGTTGTAAATAGACGAATTAAGTAGTATAGGATATAGCTAACTATCGTGGACAAATACTTTGAATTATTTTATTTGCAAACATGCATTAAATTATTATTTTACAAAATATAAGCAAATCTATACAAATACTAGAATCTGCATTATATTTTTTTTTTCAGATTTGTTTATACTTTTATTGACATTTTCCCATCTTAAGACTCCTGGTTCCTTGTTACAGCCATGTTAGATTGTGACGTCAGAGGCGAGAAAGCACACATTGAAAATTCTTAGATGCCATTTTAAAATAAAAAAAAATATTTTCATGAAAAACTACATCAGATATTTTAAGAGTGTGCTAAAGTCAAATCTGAAGTGCTGTTTCATTGTAATGTCTTCTTATTTCGAAATGACATTAAGAATTTTTTACGTGTGTTTTCTTACCTTTGAGATTACAATTTCAAAATGGTCAGTGAGGAGTCAGGAATAAATTAAGTTAAAGTTATTATGAATCTATCATAAACTCAAAATTTATGCATGATTGCTATCGCTTTTTTTCATGTTCAAAGTATTTATTCACTAATTTAATTTAGCACATTTGAGGATAGGAAAGTCTAAACAATTTTTAATTCATTTTACATATATCTTTATATTATCGTTTGTATTTCATTCCGATTGTGCATCTTGCATAACAGTATTTTAAAAATTGCGTTTGTTAAGACTGTTTTGAGACATATTTTGCATGTAATAGGAAAATATAATTTGAAAGTATTATATTTACAATTTAAATATGGAAAAAAGATAATGTTTTGGGTTCTGTACAGTAAATTATAGAACTTACAAGTAATTGTTTATTCTATCATATAAAATTTGTATGTAAAATTGACATCTTTTTCATTTTTGTTTATTATTATATATCACTCATTTTATATATATATATATATATATACACAAGCAGTTTTATGTTAGTATACTATGTCATTAAAAAAAATTGTGGATACACATAATACTGTAATGCTAATAATTATTTAAATAAGAATGTAAAATTTGTATGTAAGAGAATCTACAATGAACATTAAATTTTGTTCTGACGATTAGTTAATGACAAAATGTTATCTTTTTTGCATGATGCATTTACTATTCTAAAATGTTAATGATTCATTTTCTGCGTCTCATAGTACTATAAAAACATAATTAGAAGTATCTCTATACCATAACAATTTATTATATATTTACACATAATTGTGCACGCTTTATTGCAAATGTAATGTTATGTAATTATGATGTGGTAATCGTTACTTTTTAGCAGCACAATCGCACAAGACAAAGCACATAAATAATCATGTAAATAACATGGTTTACCTCAATGAATGGTTCAAATATTAAGATTTGCAACAATCTTTCTGCACATGCATGTAATTTATGTTATATGTATGAAGAGGTATGTGCATATATCTATTAATATTTTTTAATTAATTGCGTTTTAGGATTATCTACGACAATGGGACAGCTATTTCTTTAAAATCGAGAGGATATTGTTTCTAACTATCCTCCCTTCCCTCTCCATCAATAATTCATTTATTTTTATTATTTCGAAAATGTTTTATACGTTTGAAAAAAATGTACCTATAGAAATTGTTTGTCTTCGTTAAATTGTTAACTGGTCAGAAACTTATGATGTCCACATATACGGACTTTTATTTAGTGCATGTAACCATTGATTATATACAATTGTTATCCATTAAATCGTAAAACTATAAATTGTACTCTTTATATTATATGACATTGTATCAAATTCAATGAAATGTACATATATATATGCAAATGCTCATACTAAATGTGCCATTTTATCAATGTTAAAAGTATAAAAAGCTGCGAGATTTAATTTATATAGATGCTTGTAAGTGTGCATCCTTAGATTATTTTACTGTCATTGTCACATGCATATTTTACATATTAGTAAAATAATACAACTTTCATTTATATTTTAAGTTTTTAAACGTTATTTTACTTTAATATCGTTGAAATGCAAATCTCTTCTATTTACGCCTTATATATATACACAATCGAGCAAAAAAAATTTGTATATATTAAAGTTGCTCTTTTTTTTTTTTTTATAGACATAAATAGATACAATATAATAATGGCAAGAAATATTTTAATTTTTGTTGCACATTATTCACATATAAGAAAGCAAACATTAGTTGATGTGTACAACGCTTCATTTGATAATTTTGGTATAGTAATAATCAAATATAGCTTCTCCACATGCATGTATAATGCGCGCATGCATTTATTCAAAAAGATTAATTTTAAACTATTTATATGAAAGATATTTTTTTATCAACTAGAAATAAATTTAAAAATTGAATATTTTATCAAGAAAGTTAAATGTTTTGACAAAAGATTGTTTTGTTATTAATTTTTTAATTTTCTGATATTTTATCATTATGAAGCTATATTTGTGCAACATAATTGTTATGCAATTTTCCTAATTAAATATATTTTTATTTATATATAACTGTTAATTTTTTTTCTTATACAACCAGACGTAATAAAATTAACGTTTAATAAATTGATAAATTTCGCTATTTTTAAATATCACAATTATTTTTATTTAAAAAAGAACATTTATATGTGCTATTTATTTCTCATTATATCAATATTTTGTGGAAAATTGCATATATGATACTTTAATTATGAATTACACACTTAATAACTAATACAATATAATACATTTGAATATTTATAAGTAGATATATCAAATTTGTGTATTTTGCTGTGTCATAATATCAATATAATTTTATTATATAATGTAAATCACACATTTATATTACAAACAGGTTGTGCAATACATTTGATAAATTTTAAGTTTCTAATATTTTTGCTTTTTTGCGCATTAATTTAACGTTATTATATAATGTAAATCACACACACATTTATATTACAGACAGGTTGTGCAATACATTTGATAAATTTTAAGTTTCTAATATTTTTGCTTTTTTTGCGCATTAATTTAACGTTGCAAATAGATGAAATGTTAATATAGATTTTTCTGAAATCTTATTCATTAAATAAAAGATTGCCTTTTATTCTTTGTATCGCCTCCCTGTTCTGAAGAAATTCTATTATAAATTATTTTCATGTTTTTGAATATATATTGATAGTATATATATTACACCATCTCACAATCAAATATGTAACCGAGACCTTTTTGTGCCTTGTGCTGCGCGCTGATGGTTGATGCAGGACGGCGTATGCATGAGGAAACTCATACACAAACTAGTGATTTGGACAACAATAGCAGAGACGATATTTGTGAGTGCAAATTTATTTTCTTAAGATATATAATTAAAGTTTGCTAAGCTTTTTACGCTCTGTTTTTCGCTCGATTATTTATATCATTAAGTATGATCATTGTACATGCAAACACAATTAAATAATTTAATGACGCATTTTTTATATGTGTATCTTATTAGTATTATTATTAGCAGTGTTTTGTTAAACTTGCTAAATTAATTAAAGATAGAAAATAGTTTTTTTAATATATATATATATGTTATATAGTTTTAATATATAACAGTTTTAATTTTTTAAATGCATCTTTTATATCTATTGCATATAAATTAACTATGTAATTTTTACTAAAGTTTGCTTGATCATACTTTATGTTCGTTAAAATACTTTAGAATATGAAGTGTTCTTTTTTCATTCTTTACAGATGAAGAAGACATTTTGGAATACCAGTTTTTACATAAGTGAAAAGATCTTTGTTAATGTATACGTGTAATAACATAATTCGAACAAATGATCAAGGTATATTTCCATTGACTTTTATTAGTTGGATGGAAATAGCACACACGCGAAACATATATATTTATATATTTAATAGGCCAATTTTGATATCATAGAAAGTAAAAAATTAAAAATTCATAATTATGATTTATATATACGTATATAAAAAAAAATATATATATATATAACGGCTATACATAATAAATTAAGACTATAAAATTTATCATTGTAATTAAAATTTGTTTAAGAATGTGTTAGTATAACCCACACTTCATTTTTTTCTAACATTTACATTTAAAAAAAACAGAAAAGAATAATAGAATATAATATAAATTAGTTTTCGTATATACTTAATAAAAGAAGTACATTTATATACATATTGAATAGTATTGAGAACAGGGATATAAGCAAATAATTGAAATGCAAATTATAAAAGTTATTCGCGTATTATTTTGTCATCAATTTTGTAATTTTTTTTCATTTTTTAATTCTTACATTATTAATATATTATGGATGATACGTAAACAAAATTGTAAAAATAGAATTGTGTGATTGATAAAAGCGTTTCCTATTTATGTAAATTGACGTTCGCACGTCGCACACACAATATATGTATAATATGAGCTGAGATTAAAAATTTCAAATATTTGTCAAACACAATTTTTATCACCATATCTAATCAAATTTATATATAGCAAGTACGCAGTTTCAAGATTCGATAGATTAGTAAAATTAAATATCAGAGTTTAAAGGATATATGTATATAACGAAATCTCCGAAAAATAATCTGTAAATGATTCCTATATATATAATTGAGGCTGTTTCTCATATTCATTGTAATTTACTTTATTCAATATTTGTACAAAAATGATACATTTTTATTCTCTTTCATATAAACTTATTTTAATAAAGTTTATGTGTATATAGTCTTCTCAGCTACATATATATTTTAGAATATATGTATAAGATACATTAAACGCATTAAATCAATATTCTTTTTCTATTTTATTTATTTTATCTATTTTATTTATTACATTTTGAAAATTACTAGAAATTTTTTTAGGTGAACTAAAATTCTGTTTATATGAACTGCATTTTATTACGTATATGAACTGTGTAGTGCGAATTATGTCATCGGTGTAAATCAACACGCAAATTGTATCTCATTACGTTTTACCATACCGAGCATTTGCTGACAGGATTCATTGGAGAACCAAGAGGACAGTTAAAGACTTGAGCAAAGTCCTTGGAATTGCAGAGCGTGCCGATTACTCGAAATTTACCAGGTGAATGTACAGCTGTTTTTAGTTTATTTCTAGTTGCCTCAGGACGCATTGAACCGCACCAAACTTGAGCAAAATTCAAAAAGAATAATTGTTTACCTGTCGCACTCATTCCGGGTAATGTCTCGTCCGCCTCATTATTTAAACGTAACCATCTCTCATATGCCTGTAGAGATATAAACTTTTTAGTTTAAAAAATTTGAGCTTTAATTGTTAAAGATATTCATAATAAGCGAAAAGTTATAAAATTACTCGAAACGCTTGCTTAATACCGCCATTATCGGCAATATTTTCTCCTTGCGTATTAATGCCGTCTATTTGCATTTCAACTTCTGTTACGGTATAATGTGCATATTGATCTGCAAGAAAGAAAATTAATCAAAATAAAATCAAATCAAAAATATAATTACCATATTTTATCTGTATATTTATTGTTATTAAGTCAAAGAAAATTTTGTTTTATTTACCGATAAGACATTGTGCTCTTCGATGAAAACCATCGATTGCTTCATCTTTCCACCATCTATGAAGATTCCCATCTTTATCGAACAATCTACCTTTATCATCAAATCCATGAGTAATCTCATGTCCAATTACGACGCCAATTCCGCCATAATTTAAACTTCGTGGGAAAAATCTATGATAAAAAGGAGGCTGCAGAATGCCGGCCGGAAACACTAAGAAAAAAAGGGTAGACAATATAGAAGTTTAAATAATTTAAGAAAATTAATTTTTTTTTAATACATGTGAACCTGTGCGAGAAGAATATATAAAGCACATGCAAGTACTTTTTCTTAACTGACTTATCTGATTCTTGTTGCGACTATAATAAGCGTTCACGATCGCTGGAGCAGTATTCCACAAAGTTTTATTGACAGTGTTACCAAGACGATCTTGTTCAACTCGAGTTAGGTGTCGCAAGATATGTAGAGTGTTTTCAAAATATTTATCTGGTTGTATTGCAACCTGCGTCAAATATATTAATATAATATTTCTATTTTTTCATAATTATATATCCTCTGCGCTCCCTCTCTCTCTCTCTCTCTCTCTCTCTTAGAAAGAAAGAGCACAGATTATTATAAAGCACATATAATATATAAAAGTATATTACATCCTTGTAACGCTCATTCAATAGATGTGGCTGTAGGATAAAATCCGGATAACCGATTTTTAGTGACATAGCGTTTACTTTTTCAGTCGCCAAACGCTTCGTATCATCATCGATCCAATTAATCTTATTAAGTAGTTCTCTAAATGATCGCTGTATTTCTCGAGTCATCGACAATGTCTATTGATGAAAACGTGTTCTCGTATATTTAACTCGTATTTAATAGTAATGATATACAAATATATATTTTTTTATTTCTTTAATTTTATTTTATATTCTCTCAGAAGATACTCACATCGTTTTTACTGTTTTCGTCAAAATATTTTTTTACGAACATTGAACCAACCGCCATACCCATGTTGGAATTAACTTGGGTTATACAGTTTTTCCATCTTAATGGTGCTTGTTCTCTACCGAACAAAATGTAGTAAAATTTTTGTTTAACCTCCTGGAAACGATCGTCCAGATTATTCACTCTGTGCCGTACAAACCTCCATAAAAGATAATTCGCCACTGTTCTGTACAAAAGTAATAAATTGTTTGTAATGTTTTATATGTTAAAAATATTACACAAAATATATATGTATATAGAAAAATACGAAAGTTATAAAGCATTATGATATTACCTAGGTTGTGTTTTTGAAAGTAACGTAACTAAATTTTGAATGTATTGCAATGCAAAGACGACGACTGGCTCAGTAAAATTTACTGGTCGAGTTAAGACAATCGATAAATAACGACGCCAATCAATTTGCGGCACGAGTGTCCTCAATTCGCCTACACTCATTCGTTGATAAAGTTCCGAAAAATTTCGTCTTTCGTCAGGTGACGATGTAATCTACAAAATCCAAGATCAACATATATAATTATAGCGTCAAAAATTGAAGCAAAACTATCGTTATAACTAACACACATCGCTCAAAATACAATATAGTATATACAAATATAATGTAAACGAATGATATGTACTGCTGCAAGCTGCGTTTCAAATTCAATTAATTCTTCAGCATGTATAGTCGCATTATCTAAAGAAGCACCGAGCAAATTGGCAATCTTTATTAAATAATCTTTATAAGCTTCTAGATAAACCGCATTGGACGGTTGAAGGAAATAGTCCCTCGTAGGAAGACCAAGTGACGTTTGATCAAACTATAAAAGAAATCTTTTAATATTTTGTAGCAAGACACAATAAGATCAGTTGTCTGTTACCTGTATCACATATTTATCGCTGTTTTTAATATCTGGACCGACCCATTCTGAAATTAATACGTCATTATTGTACAATCGAAGTTGCGCGGTCAAGAGAAGCCAGTCAAATTTGTCGGAGTCCCAGTCTGGTCTTAGAATCGGCCAACCGCCGAGTTCGTCCAGAAATTGGATAAGAGGTCTTTCCATACGTTGCTCCAAAATCTCTAGCCACATTCTTGTCATATTAAGTAATTCGCGCAAATTCGGCGCAATATTTTTGTGCCTACCTACCGTAGTTCATGCAGCTTTGAAACAAATATTTCGCCTTTACCGTTGCATCATCGACATCTAATTCATCAGCATTATGCAATATCGGATCCTCTAACAATTCTTTGAGTACAAAATCTAAAGATTCTCTCAACATCTCGAAGGTATCATAACCAGCTTTGTCCTTCGGAATAGGATTGCGTTTCGCCCAATTACCACAAGCATATTGATAGAAATCTTCACATGGGTCTACACTCTTATCCATATATTTCAGCATTGTTTGTGCTACATTTAATAAACTCTTGATAGTTCCGAAACAAATATTATATATATAATAGTGTGGAATTATAAAAGAGATACTTTCAATATAATACCTCGAGCTTCTCTAATACTTTTAGCAGTTTCTTCGCTTTTCCAGAATGTATGAAAATCAAGCATTTTATCATCCTCGATAGCATCAATCAACGATAGCAATGTTTCGGTGTCATTGGTAAAAATTGAATATCCATCTTCCTTTCTCAAAACCGACTCCTCTTTCAATTGTTGTTCAATATTATCATATTTATTATAATATGGTATTGCCTCATCATTCCTTCTGGAATATTCAAAAATTTATCATGATTAAAAAATTGATTAGAATAAAAAAAGAGAAATCAGAATAACAAATCAGTATGATTAAAGTATTATATTGACTCGGAATAGTGATGGTGATTTGTTCCACTACTTTCATACGTATCATCAATTTCTACTTCTGGATAATAATCGCTTATTAAGAAATTATCTAGCTCTCCATCAACATTCTGTGTGTTATTTGTTCCGATCGTGTCTTCATTCCTTCTCACCTATATATATCATTGATAACAATATAGAATAAATTTTTCAATCAAACTATAATCACAAGCAAATTATTTTTTCACGCACAAAATGTATAGAAAGAAAGAGTTATTGCAGAAAATATGACCGACTATCTTTGATAATTCTTTTAATATAATTTAAAAAATATTGAAAATATAAATTTATAGCTATATATAGAAAAGAAATATATTAAAGATTTTTCTAAATTTTATTTTAAGTAAATATATATTTCTGGTAATTATTTAAAGAATTACTAATAATTGTGAGAATATTATCAAATTTTAAACATAAAAATAATATTTATACATATATACCTTTCTTTCTTCGATATAATTCATATTGCCTGAAAGAGATTGTTCCGCCGTATCATTGTTCCTATCTAATTTTCCCCTCAAAAAGGAATCTGTCAATTTGCCATTAAATAAATGTGCACGTAACGAAGACATCACTTGAACGTCCGATTCGATGCCATCTGCTCTCGTATGATTCTCCTAAAAAGGATCGTCTTCGGGATACTTTCTTGCTCGTGTGCCGTGTATATAAGTGCAGACTCAAGGATATGGAAACAGAACAGGAAGAAAAGAAAGAACAAATGTGATGAACAGACGATATAAGAGGAAAGAAAAAGGATAAAAGAAGGTTTAAAATTGTTTAATTAACCCAAGTTTGGGATTGCTTTGAATTGGCTTGGAAATAAAGTACCCCATCGATGTCTCTCTTGCGTCGCTGGGAGGATCGAAGCGGAGGATGCATATCTATAGGCACGTAACTCGTTTTCATATCAGGAAGTAGAATCCGATCCTCGTCTTCGGTTTCTTCGGTCCCGTGCTCTATGTCATTGCGACTAGTAGCTGACAATGTAAAATTAATCATTTCACAGACGTTTTTCACAAGAACATGTTTAAGAACTTTTATCCCTATAATCCATTATAGAATAATTAAATATGGAGATTAAAATCTCCTTTTTAATAATGCAATTTTTTATACTACAGTTTGCGATATAATATTGAGATTTATATTTTTATATATACTATTATTTTACATATGTCTTTTATTTATATAATTATAACAAACGGACTAAATAATTTTTCAGGATTAATAAAACTTTGTTTTAAAGCGTTATGCTGCGCGCGCGCATATGTGTGTGCTATATAATCTTTTATTATCTTTTATTATATATTTATCGCGATTATTAATTTCTACTATTTATCTATTATTAATCTATTATTTATTATTATATATAGGACAAAAAACCATTTAATTATCGGAATTTTTATGTTATTATCATAGTAATTGTTAAAAATCGCAAATTTTTGCATGTACCTATATCATATAGGTAATAATGGAAATTATTCTCTTAACTTTGTTTCGGCGTTTATATATACAACTGTTATTATATATATATAAAACTTACACCAAGAAATGTCATCTTCGATTTTTTGTTTGTCCTGTTCCTGCATTCGATAGATGGGAAATGTTTGCGGCTTGGAGACTTTAGCTGTACCTTGAAAACGCGACAGAGCGATGCACACTATAGTAATCGGCAACAATACAGCGGGTATCAGGAGCATTAGTTTAATACGAAAGCGCCATGCTTCACTTCTGCCAGTACACCATCTGTATATTTCGTAAAGAATTCACACACTTGTCAAAAATACAGAAAATTTAAGTTTGAAATTTGAAAAAAGCAAACAATGCAGAACTTGACACACACTTGAGTCTCCCAGTTTCCTTGTTGATGGCCAATCTACATGATGGACACGGTCCATCACTAAAAGAATCATCGTCGTTGAACTGATTCAAATTACTACCATTTCGCATTTTTTCTGAAAATAATCATATACATATATTATGATCATAAAGATAAAAATTTATATATATATAAAGAGCGAGCAAAATGAACTAATATCATTCAAGTATCGGATGATCGCAGATAATCATAAACGTAATGTGTATATCTCGAGATTCGCTCATTTACTCGTTCGCTCAATAAAAATTAAGAGTTCGATAATATTTAATAAAAAGACGGAACAAATAAGCAGAATTTATCATAGTACATATATAATTTATATATTACATATGTACATACACTGGAAATAAAATTTGCATGATTACCTAAATAACTTGACTAAACCGTTCAACTATATACATATATAAATTACTATTTTATTAATGGTACATATATTAATATTTAAGTTAAATACACGTTTTGTTAGATTAATGTTATATTTAATTTATAAATATTTCTATATACAAAATTCTAATATTAACAAAATAATATTTAGTTGGACAATTTAGTTACAATTTTTTTCACTGTACTGTTTGCTGATATATTTTATTGGTATTCTTATCTCGTACAAAATAATAAGAGATTTATTAAAAAGAGTATAAGATACATATATACATATATACTCTTTTAATATAAGTATAGTGATCTTTAAAACTGTAATTATTATTATATTATAGTCTTTTATAATAATATCTCGTCTACAATTCTACTCAATGTAATGTAGCATAACACAATTATTTTTTTCCTATAAGAAAGAATAAAAAACATACTAACAATTAAAAAAATATTAGATTGTTTCGTGAATTAAAAAATTAAGGAAATTAACTGTGCTAAAATAATAAAATATATATACTCAATATTATTACCTTAAGGCACAAGAAATTAAAGATTGACTAAAAAAATTTAATTAAAATAATAAAAAATTCCGATGAAAGTAAAATGTATGCAAAAATGCAAGAAAATTCAAAATATGTATATATCTCAAAGCAAATCTCAAATTTGAAAAAAATTACTTTATATGCATGAATTTTCAAATTGAATTTTCTTAATAATTAAAATAATTTTTTAAAATAAATTTAAATTTTGATCATTCAGGTACTGTTCAAAAAATAACTGTGATCTATATATATCTATAAAAAATAAACTTACCAAATCCTTACAGACGAATTATTCAATTATATTTACTCTTGCGAACAGTATGTATACATATACAATTGTTTATCCACACTTCAAATTAATGAATCTCGATATATGCACCGTATTTTTAAAGATATCACACAAAATTAATATTTCGGAAACGAACGAAAAATATGCGTATAAACGTGCGTCAAAGTCGAAGAAATTGATTATTACGCACTCGATCCAAGCAGGAGTATTAATGGAACGTCGAGTATTATGAGTGCTCGTATGAGACTGAATCTGTCAAGCGAACATTTGTAGAGAGTAATTTACATACATAAGGTCATCCGTGCGACACCAATAGCGAGAGTACAATAATTAAGCTGGAGACACGGCTTTATATATACGTGCACGCGCATACAGGCGAGAAACGTTTTACGCGCTCCTTAGAACGAGTTACTCGTCAATCGACCTTAATAACTAGCGATTATCGTTCAATAACACACGCGTATTTCGCATTCTATGCACGATCTCATCATTATATTGAGTCTTTCCCGTCATTCACGATTATTCTCCGTTTCAATTTCTATACATTTTTATCGCGTAACATTTTGTAAATATAAATAATTAAACACAATTATATATATATATATTATAAATATATAATTAATATATAAAAATTGTATTTTTATATATTAATTATAAATAATTAATATATAAAAATTGCGTGTGTGTAATAAAACATAAATTAATATATATGCAATGCTAATAATATTTAACATATGCGCAAAATTAATTTTTTAAAATTTTATTTTATTGGAATTTTTTATTAAAAATTATTTTTCTTGGAATTTAAATATTTTAGATTTTAGATATACTGTTTTGCCTGTCATCTTCACTTACTTTCATTGTCGATGAGACAATCTTCGATGAGATAATCGTCATAGTTGGGTAAAATATTCCAACGAAATCTATTGTAACTATTTATGCTAATCTTTCGTGAGATGACCTTCATATTTATATTAAAAAATCATCCGACAGAACTTACTAACGATGAAAGAATTTTTCGCGCATGTTATTTAACCTCTCCACTTTACAAAGAGCCCAATACTCGATGTCTCGATTGAGATTAATCGATTTCCTTACGCTACGTCATGAAGCTCAAAAACCAATCAGATTATTGCTTTAAGCCGGATCCACAATAGATGATTTAAGCCCTAATTATTTATTGTTGACCCCGACCAAAACATAGGAAATTTTAGTTTTAAAGTTGTGCAGCCTGCGCAAAAATAAGCGCGCCTTTTCTATATAATTCGCTGTTTTGTTCAATCACTGACGAGGTACTGTCATTTGGTCATGTCATTTGAGTATCGCGTTCTTATTGTAGATTTTAGTACTGTAGACGATATCACGCATAGTTTAGATAGAAAATCTTTATTATATTCATTAGTAAAATCATATTTTCGTCATAGTTGCGTCAGCAGACGGAAATCTGTAAAAGGATAGAAGATTACATTATCAAATCACAAAAACTTTTCTGTAATATTTTGATAGAATCTCACATAAAGGACATGGATTCAAACGGCTGTTCATTAACATGCACCGTCACGTTGGAATGGCTAAATTCTCAAGGATCTATTTTAAGGAAGGTAACTCACAGAACCGCATTACTACGCTTGACTCGTAACAATCAACGCGAGATGCTCGTCGAAGTACAGGCAGAAAAGACGAATACATCTACGAAATTACTCCTGAAAAGTATATCTGTTTTTAATAAATTTATGACCGAGGGAAAAGCATCTATAAAATTCAAGGAACAAAATTGCACGTTGTTCTTGTCGAATGCACCTTCCTCTCAACTGATAAGCTTTTTGAAAACTATATTCATCAAAATAACGGATCAAGAAGGAAAGACGAATCCTACGAAGGAGAAGCTCTTTGCAAATGTACAACTTAATGGTGCTAAAGATATTAGTCCAGCTACTAGCGCAGAAATTAATAGAGCAAAGGAGAAAGCTATGACTATATCACGTACAACAGTCACTACTCCTTCACCGAGTAGTGTCAGGAAACGGAAATATTCTAGCGATGATACTTCTAAAGTGCCAGCAGCAAAAAAGTTACATTATAATCCTAACGCTGGAGAATTGACTGAAGAACAAATAAAAATTTTGAATGCAGTACTTAGTGGGAAGAATGTGTTTTTTACTGGAAGTGCAGGCACTGGCAAGTCATTTCTTTTGAAGAAGATAATTTCGGCTCTTCCTCCGGATGTAACAATGGCTACAGCAAGTACTGGAGTAGCAGCCTGTCATATAGGTGGAATTACGTTACATCAATTTGCTGGTATTGGTTTGGGTACTGGTACCGAGGAAAGATGTTTTCAGTTAGCTTCTCGTCCGTCCGTGGTTTCAATGTGGAGAAAGACCAAGCATTTAGTTATAGATGAAATTTCTATGGTAGATTGTGCGTTTTTTGACAAAATTGAGGCAGTGGCAAGACATGTACGCAAAACAGAAAGACCTTTCGGAGGAATACAGTTAATTTTGTGCGGTGACTTTTTTCAATTACCTCCTGTATCTAAAATCAATGATAAAGCAAAATTCTGTTTTCAAAGTGAAGCTTGGCCACGATGTATTCACTTTAATTTCGAATTACGAACAGTTCATAGACAAAAAGATGAGGCATTTGTAAAAGTGTTAAATAATATTAGGATAGGTAGAGTTACAGATGATATTGTTAACATTTTGAAAGAAACAGCGAAACAACATATTGAAAGTAATGGGGTATTAGCAACTAGATTGTGTACACATGTCAAGGAAGCTGATGAAATTAATGAATTCCAATTGAATGAACTTAAAGGTGAAACTAAAATATATACAGCATTAGATTCTGATAGTTCTATGACATATATGTTGGATCAACAGTTGCCTATACCTGGCAAATTGATATTAAAAATTGGCGCTCAAGTTATGCTACTAAAAAATATAAATATTAATAGCGGATTGGTAAATGGAGCTCGAGGTGTTATTATCGATTTTAAAAATGATATACCAATAATTCAATTGCGTACTGGAGCTCATTATGAGGCAAAAATGGAAAAATGGACTATTAAAAGCAGCTCTGGTGCTCTTATACACAGGAAACAAATTCCATTAAAATTAGCATGGGCCTTTTCAATTCACAAAAGTCAAGGTTTAACTTTAGACTGTGTTGAAATGTGCCTATCGAGAGTATTTGATGCAGGCCAATCTTACGTAGCATTATCAAGAGCTCAGAGTTTACAAAGTTTACGTGTTTTAGATTTTAATAGCCAACAGGTATGGGCTAATACAACTGTACTTGAATTTTATAAAAAGTTCAGGAGAAATTTGCAAGAAATAGAGGTAATTCCTTTAGGTAAAAAAAATAATAAAATTAGAAACAAATAAAAGATAATATATATATTTTTTCTCTCTTTCACTAAACATGTACAATTCATGTGTGGAAGTAACTTTCAACATACATATGCGCATAAGAATATATTAAGAAAAATTATTACAATCTTATTAAAAAAAGTAAAAGTTTATTTTATTGTACGATTTATATGGCGTATCGTTTCGAGTTTTTGTTTTTTACAAATATTGGTACTCATATTAAGTGGACAACGATGTTAATAATCATCGACGGTTATTTCGATAGGTGGTATATATCGCCATATATGTCCGGCATTTGCAAGTTCTGAATAAAGTATTGGAGAGGTTGGAGCAGACTCTTTACTACTGCATTGTATATCTATTTTATATTGACCAGCAGTAAAAAATACTACTCGACACTCGTGATAGGCTCTGCCGTATTCCTGTAACTATTACTTATTTATGATAATAGGGAACAAGCACGCGTATAAGTGCAGTGTGAAGCTGCATTATAAAAGTTATAACTTACAATAGGTAACATGACTTTATTTGTCCCAGCTATGGATAATCTCGTTTCTAATTGATAATTATTAACTCCATTATGATGATCCTGATAAAAATTAATAGACAATGTAAGATCGTTCAGCGGATGTTCCAGAGCGTTGCACACACCTATGCCAACGCTGATGCATTCACCTAAAGAACACGATAGCTCATCTTGCGCTTTTACAATAGTATCGTTGATAGTTATTTCTGGAAAAAAAAATCCATTTATTAATTCTAATTTCATAATCTTAATTTTATATATGGATTCTGCGCATGTGTACGTGTGTGTAAATATATATACGCACCCCACTGTAAAGGACTCATTCTAACTAGATCTAACATATCTTGAGTTAGAGTAATACCAGATAGGGTTGCTTTTCCCGTTGATTCGGTACCTAGTAATTGCCAACGCAAATCAACCAATGAGGCTATATGTTCGGCGCATATTTTTTGAAGTTCACTGATATCACCAGCACCGTTTAACTATAAAAAATATATATAAAAATAGCAATGTTATATCGTAAAATTTTTTTAAAATAAATTCATATAAATTAATATAATATTATGTATTTTGTTACCTTAGACAATTTATTGAGTGGACATCGATCAACTGGAACAGGAATTCTACACGATTCTTTACCTTCCATGTATATACATTTATTTTGTGTATAATGTAATTCCATTTCGTGATTTGTCATATTTGTCACATCCAATACGAGATAAAATTGCAATGGTCTATAAATTGTTTCAGAGATATTTTTTTTCTTATTCATTAAAAATGTATAATCGGTCATAAAAAAAGAAATGTAATAATACACGAATAAATATTACTTTACAAAAAAATATGGCTGTTTTTACTTACGTTTCAGCCGGTAATACATCCCAATTAGTAATTTGCACACTGGCTAGCATTTCAATGGTTACAAAAACAGATGATATTCTGCAATAACCAGCTGTTAAGCCTGCACCTCCTGAATATTTTATTCTTAATTGACCTTCGATAACATTAGATGTATGTAAAGGTACTGCAAGTTTTGACAAACGCGAGCTCGTTAAGGAAGAATGGCCAGAGTGTGAACTTATTCCTGATCTAAAGGAAGAAGTCAGTTCGGATTGTCTTTTCATATGATGAGATGGAGAACTTAATCTAGATGGTAAAGAACTGTGGCCTGAATGTGACATTAAACTGTTTGGTTGACTAGGACATGTACTACTACTAATATCTGAAAAATAAATTATCATTAAAACAAAATAAAATAACAAGATGGTAATATACTTTAAAATCTGAATATTATTGCAGATGTTACCATTTCTAATAGAAGATGCTACAAAATCTGTCACTGCAAAGAGATATAAGGTAAGACTTGCACTGTTGCCAGGTTGTAAAGGCAATTGTGTCATCAAATTCTCTTCACTCCATTTAAAAATTTTACTTTCAATTACAGTATCTAAAGTAGATTGTACCGATAATTCAACCATTTCAATGGGAACTTGTCCAATATTCGTTATCGTTATAGTACACTCAGCGCTAGAAACAAAACCATGTTAACCAATCTTGCACGAAAATGATAACACCAATAGGAAAATTTTTTATTATAATAAATACGAACCTCTCACCACCATAGAGTGATATACTCGCGCTGGTAACTATATTGTCGCCAGAGCTAAAACTCGCAGTCTGAGGTAAACTAGTTGCGACATCAATTCTTGGTAAGGCTGGAATGACTTCAACTGTATATTGAGGATGTAACATGCCTTCCATATGTCTCAATCTACAGTTAGATTTAACTCCTAATGTGTGTGTACTAAAGCCAAGTATTTCTAAATCACCAATTTCTTTAGGTCTGCCTGCTAACGTTACCGCAATTGGGCCAGACTCAGCAGGTAGATTAATACTTTCTGGTATTGATTCAAATACTACACCATTTGTCAAGAGTCTCATATTAGACACGTGTAATTCAAATGGTAAAGGATTTATAAGCTGCATTGAAACTTCACAAACGTCTCCTTCTACCCATAAATAATCTGTTGTAACAAAAAAACTTAATGTAAATAAGAGAGAGAAAGAGATGAAAGTATTGTATATCATAATAAATTATTAATGTTAACAATCATCACACATACCAACTTTACTTTTAGAAGTATTTTTGCGTTCCAATGAGCCAAAATTAATTGGCGTAAACAAAAATGGACCATGATCTTCTTTTATTCTTTCTATCTTTTGAGGCTGTAAATGTGGCTGCATGTTTTTCAGAATAAATGATTTTGTCTTTGGTATATTTAATAAATTAGCCGGTGGTATAACAGTACCAGAATCTAAAACCTGTTATAAATTGTTAGCATCGTTTATTTTATACGAATAAATTAATCAATATTTTTCTTTAGTATTATTTGTATCATTATAATCTTTATAACATACAAGAGGAACTGGTGCACCCTCGCACTGTTGGGATACATTTTGAAGTTGTAATGCGATATCTTTCCTATCACTAAATGTTAAGTGATTGTACATTGTTTGAAGTAAAAATGTTAAATGCCTTGTCGTAAGTGCCGGATTACCCATTCGATTTGCAGCAGCAACAAGTTCATTTATTATTTGAATCTGTATAGCTGGCCATCCTCTTTGCCCATCTGTAAAATAAGAATAAGAGTTAAAAAAGAGATTGAAAAATATTAAAATCTACAAAAATAAATAATATTAAAAAAATAATGTTGATGCACATATAATTTATATGTTATATATGTATAAAATTTAAGAAAAATATTTTATATTTTAAAAATTATGTGTTTATAAATAAAAAAATATGATAAGAATAGTAATTAAGAGAATATTTTTAGAATAAAAATTTTCAAAAATTTGAAAAATAAACTTATTTGACAATCAACACATGCATAGTAATTGTAGTATAATAACCTGGTGACATATCAACTGGATCCAAGGATAATTTAAATCCGGATGTTGCTTGTAACATAAGATTGTAACATTGCTGCCAGTCTGGATTAGGATTATTTTGAGATACATGTCGAGTGGCAGCTAATCGTAAACAGAAGGAAGCTTTTCTATCAAAACCAAAGCTTGTATATAGATCTGACAATGTCGTGAATCTATCAATCTGAAATATTTTATTTATGTAATAACTTTACATCCTTTATATCTTGAAAGTCTCTGCAAATTGTATATTATCACTACGTACTTTTTCTTGCTCGCTAAGAGGCAGGTTAATCAATACAACATTATTTAGATACGATGCAGCCTGTAATGTACAGTTTTGCTCTATAGAGATTCTTGTAGCTTTGAAACTAGCTTCAGTTTCAATTATACCTGCATATTGATATTTACTATAATGTACAATGGCGTCACGATATTTTTTAGATATTTCCTCTGGTAATAAAATATGTGGCATGTTAGTCTTTACTATTTCTATACTAGGTGGAGATGGCAAAACTGTGGCAACAGCTTGTGATCCTCGTCTAAAAATAATTATTATTAGACTCATTAGCTCATGTAAAATCAAGTTTTATAATAAAAACAGTGTAAAATTGATAAAATAAATAAGTATGCATATTTCAATTTTAACAATGATTGAGAAGAGAAAGAAAAGATAATTTTATTTTCCAACAAAATGATTTTTACTCAAAGATTAGTCCATACCTCTGTTTACTTGGACTTCCTTCCTGTAGAGAAGAATTTCTTTGCAATGGAAGACTTCGGCACATATTAGGATAAAGAACTAAGACTGAAGCAGCACATAGACCTTCGTATGCCGCTCCTAACCACAGCCAATCATTGACTGCTTGCAGAATATTGGCTGCAGAATTATAATTATTCAACGCATCGGCTGGTAGTCCAGCTTGAAGACACAGATCTCCTAAATGCTTTGTCATACGTCCCACGCATCTCTTTTTATTATTTCTAGATTCGAGATCTAATCCTATAAAATCTTTCTTCTCGAATGGAGCCAATAAAAGAGAGACACGATCTATCTTTTCCCTAGAACGTTCCAATCTTTTTGATTCCAAGATCCAAAATAGGAAATTAAGATATTCGGCTATCTGTGTTTCCAGATCAGGACAAGTTTCGTCCGCATAGAACACTGCCCGCGTTTTAAAATTGCTGGGCGTAGTGCAGCCTGGTGGTGGCTCATGACGACCATTTGATTCGAAAGGACCAAAAAGGATAGCTCGAGAATCGTATAAAGTGTTGCCGTATTTTACCTTTAAGGTCTCGTGCACCCTACACAGCTCGTTCAACTCTGCTTGATTATCGTACTTGCCGAACGTGATCAGACCTAGCAATCGTCTGTGAGTCTGAAAGTCTCCCCAGTCATTGTTTTCCACAGGATGTTCCTTGACAAATCTAGCTAAGATCTCCCGGGTACTGCCACTGGAATCAGACACGGAAAATCTGCTGCCAGCTTTAATGATCCTTTCGCATAATCTACTGACTGTCTTTGGCTTGATTTGTGTACCAATGGGTCTCAATAACAACAGCAGAGCAGCGTGATCATGAGCAGTTTGCTCGTAATCGGGATGAGACATTTTGTTGTCGGGCACCGGACTCGACAAGATAACGCTGATGGCCGAGCGCATTTATGTCACTGTTTGTTCGAGGGTACCCGATTAGTACCTAGACGCCTCCAGCTGATTCTGTCATTTCTCTCTGTCGTCGTTTGATATAACGACAAACATATGCAGGATGTTTTGCATGATGCATATACATGGAAAAAATCTTAATTTTTCTTTCACAACATCAATAATTAATGTCTTTCATCAGGGGTGAACCGGTGAACGGCACACTAAAGGTTGCCTTATAAACT